TTCAGGGGAGATTGTGGTGGGAACGTGGGACTGTTGTCATCTATTGGCAGGCTTGCTGTTCACATAAAACAGGTAAGACATGAGTTTTGGGACCTGGAGAACATAGACACTAGCAAAGGTTATTGTTGCAGAGCTGCTAGTTGCCGCTTGCTTTAGAATTGGTGCAATAAGGAGACATTTTAATGAGGAAAAATAGAGGCACTAAAATTGCCATGCTGCAAGACCTGAATTAAAAACAATAGAGCAAAAGCATCTCTTTGTCTGTTGTTTCTCTGTAGCTTGGAAATACATAAATACAGTTACTCTTGCTCTGGTTTACATTCCCGATTACTACTTTGAATGGAAGGAGCATATTTCAATGATTTTCAGACATTTACCTCCTTTTTCTGTACTTCCAGGTTCTAATTGACTGGATTAATGATGTGCTGGTGGAGGAGAGAATCATTGTCAAACATCTTGAAGAGGACCTCTATGATGGGCAGGTGCTGCAAAAGCTGCTAGGTGAGTTCATGCAAGAGAAGGTGGCCCCAAAGACTGGAAGGGGCCCAAAATTAATCTCTTCCAAAGCTGCAGAGAGCAGCAGGTCTGTGCAGTAACTCACCATCTCACCAGGGATACAGTTTGTTTCACTGAAGGCTATACAGTGTAAGCTTCTCCATCTGTTCTTCTCAGGCTGTTGGCTGCAAGGGGAGGAAATCCAGTTGATTCCTAGGTATCATCTGTTCCATGGACTAAGTGTAGTCTGGACAGATGAAATACATGGCAGAAAAAAGGTGAAGAGATGTGCGTTTACAATGGACCAAGCAGAAGCCATGTGGTCCAAAATTTTGCCTGTATAGTTTGCTTCTGAAAGCTTTTTGGCTGAGAGCTTTTTTGAGGTCCTGATAGAATTACTTCGAGGGGAAAAAAATGAGAAAAAGAGAACGCATGGCAGCAGACACATACTCATAATGTGCAGTTACGTGCGAATGATTCATGAAAGGGTATAGCCAGTTAAGCAATTATGATTTTGCAACCCCCTTACATCTTTGCAATGTGTGTGTTCACGCAGGAAGCACGGTGGAGAAAACGTTATGATGATACAGTGATTTATGGGGGTGCTTTTAGCAAACAAAGAGACTTAAAGCTTCAAGTGCCGTTGTAAATCCATGCTGTTTCTTGGAGACAGATTGTCAGACTGCTCTCAGTTTACTGATGATGTGTTTTCAAGAGTGGGCTGGGATGTGGGATGTATGTGTCAGAGTGGGGCAAGAGGACCTAGCGGTGTTAATTCCACTGGTGTTAACGGATGCTGTTTACTGAATATGCTGCGTGTGCCCTTTAAATTAGAGGTCTGCAGCGTTTTGGTGAATATTCATAAGCTTTTAGAATTGGTTAACAACAATTAACTTTGTGTGCAATTAAAACTCGTCAAAAATAACTTGAGGAATAAAACAAGAGTACTTTTAACACTGCTTGATTAGACTGCAGCTGAGACCCTCCAGACCTGGTGGGGAGCAGGGGTGTAGAGTTAATTTTAGTTGGGGAGTATTCATGTGAATACAGTTGTACTTCTTAACGCATTGACACTGCTGTTTCAGCAGGTGGTAGCACATTTCTCTGTAGCCATTTGTCATAGGTATCACTGCTTTCTTACACTCCCCGTGGAGGCCAGCAGACACTTAGAAAGTGCTTAGTTGTACAACATACATGCATATGTAGCTCAATTGGACTATCTCACAGGAGGAAAGGTGGGCATGTAGGTCTTCCAGCCTGAAACTTTTAACTGGACTGGTTTTTCCTCATTTCTTCCTGTTGGGCCTCTTCCTGGAGAGCAAATGCTTCTCCCCTGACCTGAAGCTATCACAGCCCGGCCCCAATCCTGTGTTGCTCTTCAGTGGTGTCTTGGTTTCTTCAGCAAGAGTTATATTGCGGAATCTATCCGTCTTTGTGCTGTCTCATTGATGCAAGAGGCGAAGCCTGTCGTGCTTGTGGTGGTGCTCCTGAGGCCTGGAGCATCAGAATTAAGTCAGCCCTCTGTTGTGCAAGTCTTCTTTCCTGGTGCCTTCAGGAAAAGCTAACAAAGTAGGGTCATTAAGCTTCAGGTAGTAGTTATCATGCCTTGCGTGTGAGAGGTGTTTCAAGATCTGTCTTGATAGGCAGACACAAAAAAAAAGGTGAAAGACAACAGCTTGTCAGTGGGCTTATTTTGAAGAAGTTTGGAGTAAGGGATTAGCAAATGGCTGTCTGACTGACAGAGATGGAGCTCCTTGTTTGGTTAATTTTATCGAGGTACAAGAGGTGCTGCTCTGAGAGGCTGGAGAGGCTTGGTACACATGGTGCCAGGGTGAAAGGAAATTTTCTGCTTGCTGACTGGCAGCTAACCTGGAACCTGGGCTGAGAATAGATAGGAGTCATAATGTGACCAAAAAACTAATCTTGTAGTGTAATTTTATTAACAAAGTCTAAAAGAATTAAAAATAACATTTGTGTGTTCTGGTAGTCAGTTTAAAAAGGACTCAGAAACAGCTTGGCTAAAGAACATTTTTCTCCCATTAATATTACTCAGATATTGATAAAAACTTCCTACTGTAGATGGATAGAAACAGTCAAAATGTTCAAGGTATTTGTGACTTGATAACCTGCAAGTCTCTTCTGTTTGGGTTATTAAAGTATTTTTGTATTTCTGTCACTTTTTAAAAAATAGATACATATATCTTCAGCTAGGTAAAATGTCCAGAAGAAACATACTCTTGAACTTGAGAGCAGAAATATTTCCATTACTGGAATAACAAGTTTTGACAACTCTGAAATGTTTCTGAAAGAATCTTAGAGTTGAAGCCCACCCCATTTTGTGAAAACAGTTTTGGTGAAGTATGTTTTTTTGTTTTAAAGAAAAGAATAGTAATATATAATTGGAATATTGACCTCCTAGTCCCAGCAGCAGGGTGACTTTGACCATTTTTTTCCCCAGGGTGGAGGGAGAAGAGAGATCAGCTGTTCCCATGGCTCTGGTGGCTGGAGGACTCTACCCCACCTTCCTCAGCTCTCTTTCTTCTTTTTTTTTCATTTTTAGAGAAATTCAGGTCCGGTGTGTTTGGCAGGGTCCACAATGCAGAGGAAGAGAAGAATGATTTGTCTAACACTTTGGCAACAAATAGTTACATTACAGAAACAGAATTCAGATTTTAGTAATGTCATTTTACAAAATTTCCTGCATTTTTGGGAGTAATAAACCATAATGTGAGAATGTCATAACAACATGACAAGATTGTACCAACTTACTTGTTTCTTCAAATTTTAGTTCCACTAAGCCAGTACAAATCTGTGGGTTGTATGAGTCCATGGCTCTTGATGACTTGAGGGGGCACAGTTTGCTTTAGCTTAAATTCATACCTTCAGCTAACGTGAAATAACCTTCAGCTTACCAAGCTGAAGTAAATCTTCACACAATATTTCCTCTTTTTTGTCCTGAATTAATTTCTTATTAGAAAAGTCCATTAAACCTGTGCAGATTCCTTGTGTAGTGAAGGCTGTGTTGTGCCAAATGCCTTTCAGCAGTGAAAGAAAACAGGAGGTACAATACATATTATCACTAAGTTGGTGCCTATCTGAAAGTTGTTAGATATTTTGACACCTGATTGATAAGCATGTTCTGCCAGACCTTACCAGTTTTCTATCACAGGTTTTATTGGAATTGACACACTTTGATGAAAGGTTTGCTTTCAGCTATTTTGCTTTCTGAGGAAAACCATTCTCATGGAAAATTTCTAGCAGAGTCCAGCTCTGCGCAGCGCTCTGCACTCGTTATTCCCACCCATGCCCTTGTTTAATCTGATTTTGCCTTTTCTTTTTGTTTTTCTTTTTTTTTTTTGAAATACAGAAAAATTGGCTGACCGTAAACTGAATGTGGCAGAAGTGACGCAGTCTGAAATTGGTCAGAAACAAAAGTTGCAGACGGTCCTGGAAGCTGTCCATGATTTACTCCGTCCCCATGGCTGGACAATCAAGTGGAACGTTGACTGTAAGGACTCTGTTATGCTTTCTGTCTCAGCTTCACAGTCAAGGAGGGTGTGATAATCAATAGGTTGATCATATCCTCTGTGATGCAGTGTGGTTTTTTTTAAATTATTTATTTGCATAGAAGGTGTTACCACATCCATGTATGGACTGTAACTGGTACCTTCTTCGGTGGTCTTCAAGGACAGATGTACATGGCTATGGGATAATTGAAGTAATTTGTTCTTCTAAGGATATGCTTTCATTAGAAAGTTTTTTGTTTGTTTCCTGAATTTGGATCCCTGCAGATACAAGAAATGTGTTAGTCATTCAAGTACTAGAGGGTGACCTAATCCTTCAGGCCACCACAGTGAGAGTGAAAGGATCCTGCATCCTGCACGCAGCTTCTGACAGGCTAAGCAGAAAGTGCCCTCTGTTCAAGCATGGCCTGGTACAATCCAAAAGGGAGAATGGAATTTGAGAAGTCCCTTCACCTAGGTAGTGGGTGGGCTTCATCTCTTACAGCCAGAAAAGCTTGTGTTAACACTTCGGAAGTCTGCTTAAAAGCAGAATTCTCCACTATTCTCTGGTATAGTGGAAGGCAAGTGATTGAGCCTGCCTGTCTTCATTGACTAGAGAGGCAGCTGAAGTGTTTGGACTTCTAAGTCAGGCATGTAACTTAAAGGGCAGGTTGAGTCTAGGCTTTGCTACCTGTAGAATTATATTGCAGGCCTTGTTAATTTAAGAAAAAGAGGAAGAAGGATAAAAAGAAAAAAGACGGTGTTCACCAAAGGCATTTTTCACTGCCTTTTCCCCAGCGCTTTTTGTTTAAAATAAGGCCTCAGTATTCTTCTATTTGGTTCATTTTCCTTATTCTCTGCAGCAATCCACGGCAAGAATCTGATTTCCATTCTTCACCTTCTGGTTGCTTTGGCAATGCATTTCCGGGCTCCCATTCGGCTGCCTGAACATGTGTCTGTACAAGTGGTAGTTGTACGGGTGAGTATGAACTGATAAGGGAAATTCATCAGAGCAATCATTGTCTATCACTCTGATTTTGCAGTACTGGGCTGCTCCCACTCATTGCTCCCCGATCTCTTGTCATTTAGAAAATTCTCGTCCCAGTTGTTTAGTGAGTCCCAGTCCTGGGAATGCATTTCTGGTGTGCTTAAATGTGATCCCGAGAACATAATATCTTTAATATGTTTGGGACCACCACTTGCTACTGCAATATCAAGGTAAAAATATGTGAGGGGGATTTTGTATAAGAGAGAGTTACGTCTGTAATTTGTGGCACTTTAGTAGGGGTTTTGCCATGCATTTTTTTGTAGAGAAGCCATTGAAACACAAACAGCACAGAAAGGAGTTTCAGCGTGTAGGATCTCCCTAGTCTGGGAAGCCTGTTACTGATGTTTTTCCCCAATGACTTGTTATGCAGACTTAGACATGCCATTTTCCTTAGCATGCTAATAGACTTTCATAATTTCTTTCACAACCCTGTGTTTTTGTTAGCTTTCCTGAGATTTGGAGAAGAGGTCTGACCTGAGGAACCCTGACTTCTTCCCTCCTGCCCTAGATATTGCTCTAGTTACTCCTTTCTCTGCTTGGTGTTGACCATTTCCTTTCTCTCTATGAAGACTCTATTGGAGCATATGTACTCTTGCTTTTTATCTCGCCTTCTATCCCAACTGAAGCTCCTGTGGCAGTACAGTCTGTAGCATGCGAACCCAGCTTTTCTCAACAGCTGTTGAAACACCAGACAGAGCTGTTCCAGTTGGCATTCTGATCATGCTGTGACTGTTTGCTGTGGTGCTCAGCGCTGTTGCTGCAAGGCAGGCTCAGCCGCTGGCAGCAGGCTGTGGAAGTGCTTTCTGTACGTGCCATTTACTGTTAGAGCTGGCAGGCTGTGGTAGGTTTCCTATCAAGAATAAAAGACGATAAAGTGATCTCGGACTCTGGTTTTGCAAATGTGGATCCCCTTACAAGATGCGATTGCATGGTGGTTGATTAGGCAAGCCTCATTTTGCTTTACGTTTAAATAATGGCATTTTCCAGGCTGCCTGCCTGAGTGCTCTAGAGGTACAGGGTCTGATGTAATTGAGTAATTGATGGATACTCCCTGGCTCACAACAGATGTCTGTGTTATCTTTAAGAGGTGATTTTGAACTGCTTTCAGGCTGCTACAGTTCTTTCATTTTAAGAACGGTGAGTTAGATATGAAGTAACATGAATAGGAGTCTAATTTCTTTTTAAATTTCTTTTTAAATTTCTTTTAGTGGCACTAAAAGGTAAGGAGGAAAATGTAAATATAAGGTGGTCAACAGTCCTCTGACACCCTGGTGCTAGAAATCTCCTTCTGCCCCGTACAGTGAAGTGTCTTTTGTAACTGCTAAGGCAGAAAAAAAACCTTAGGTAAAGAGGGAAAGCCTCCCTTTCCTTGTCCTTAGTTCAAGCTTCAGGACCCTCCACCTCTGTAGCAGAGGGAAAGCTGTGGAGAAAGTGTTTTCACATCTTTTCCTGTTGGAGGGGTATAGAGAAGATGCCTGCTGAGAGCATCTGGTTCACCAGAGTCCCTGTATCTTGAGACTAGACAAGGCTGAGGTGAAGACAGGATGAGATAAAGGCTGACAGAAACTAGGGAAAGGAAGGAAGGGAAGGAAAAAAACCTCCTGTGTCCCCACGGGAGTGCCCGAAGGTGTCAGAGCAATGGTACAAGGAGAGTTAATTTAAACTCGAGAGGCTGTAAGCTCTTGCTCTTGGACCTAGAGCCTGGAGTCCTGGAGATGGTTATGGCAACTGCTGGCTGTGAGCCTACCTCAGCTGGCCCTGTGCAAGAGGAGGCTTGTTTTAGCCCTGCTATCCCACTGCTAGGAAAAGCTTGCAACTCTTCAGCTTTGTTTATTTAAATGGAAAGCAAGGCACAGTATAAACTGAAGCATGTTTCTTCTGGAACAATAACTTTTGCCTTATAGTTTGGTAAATTGAATTTTTGTAGTTCAGCATCCGTAATCTAGTCTAAAAATACATGCTGGTTGAGTAACATAGATCTATTTAAATGGATTTGATTTAGCTTTTGTAATACTAATGACAAACAGAAGAATGGTAACAAGGTTAATATTGTTCCTAATCCAAGTAAGAAAACTATTATTAAGAAGATTATTATTATTATTCAATATCAATTTATTATTAAATGATCTTTTATTACAGATCCTAATAATGGTTAGGGTTCTGTCAAACTAGATCACAATTAACATAAGATGTCCCCTCCGAGAGGTTTTAGTTTAAATGCCTCTTTTTGCTTCAATATGCATTTAAGGGGATTAATCAACAGTTTCAAATGACTTCTTCGTAAGCTTTGCAGGATTGACCCCGTAGCAAGAAAATCTTGCAGGATGTTGTGGGAGTATTGTGCAAGAACTCACCCACACTGGGATTTTCAAAACTAGTTAAATCTCACTTTCACGGGTGACTTTGCCACTTAGGATTATCGTTATCAACTTTGTTGAGCCGTGTGCAGATGCATGAGGTGCTTCTTGCCCAGAAAGGCTGTGCTTACGCTATGAAAAGAAGAGAGTCATACTGGTTTAGCAAGTTAATGCTTAGCCAAGTTCTTTGCATTTCCATAGCCCATCCCACAGCAATGCAGAATACCTTATTAGCTTGGTAAATGTTGTAGGCTTTTTCTTCTCTAATTTTTAGTGTCCTGCTCCATAAAACGAGATAATACTATGACAGCACTGTGCTACATGGGGAAAGTTTATCAAGATCTCCACGAACTGGTGGTGATTCTCCCCTTCCCTTAAATTCTTCCCTTCCATTAGCATCTTTAGTTAATTCAGAGTCTGAGAAAGATCTGTAGCTGGATCTTTATCTGTCAAACAATACACCATCCTTTTTTGGTCCTGTTTACTCAGAAACCCACAAGCATTTTGTTTATATTATTTTAAAATGGGCACCATGAGGTAGCCCCTCTCAAGAGTCGAGTTCTGAAACCTAGTTGCTTTCAAACCTTTTTGAAGTCAACATCCAGAATTGGTTTTCTTGGTGTTTTTTTGTGTGAAATAGAAAATTTTGTAACCATGGCAATGTATGTCCAAGCTATACATGTCCTAGCAGAGTGAGGGTTTAGGTGGGTCGTCTAGTTAGGATCCTGTTGATAGCTACTCCAAGTGCTGAGTTAAGAGTCCAAGATGATACATGTTTTAATATTGGTGTCACTCAGCATGTGCATGTTGTTCCAGCCCTCCTCAGTGAGGGCAGGGAGGAGAGAAGCTTTGTGATTTCAGTGTGTGCTTCCAGTGGGAACTGAAAATCCTGAGATTTTTCTTCCAGCTGACTCTACTGACTGAGATCTGAAATGCAAACTTGCATGATGAAGAAATACCCTAATTCATGAGAACAAAAACATTCTCAGACATAAGTGTAAAAATTGTTCTTAAGGTTGGTTATTTTTACAAGACTTGGGAATTTCCATCTTTTGTACTTAGCTTTCCTCATCCTCATTTTTAAAGTTGCAGCATGCGCCACCTCAGTGCCGCTGGGAGATCGGAGGTATTTTTACAGTAATTCCCTTGTAGTCTGAGTTGCAGACTGAAAGGTCAGAGGCAAGGCGGGATGAAGAATAAATGTGTCTGGTGGCAGTGGTGCAAGGAATCAAAGTTTTATCAAAGAATGACATTTGCTTTTGGATTGCAAGGCCAAGGGACCTAGGTTTGCTGTGTGAGCAGCATGCTCAGCTGCCTCGGAGGGAGCTACATAAGATGCTGCCATTTCCATCTGTTGGGGAGTTAGCGTTGGCATCCATTCCTCTTCCTTATCAGGCATTCGGAGGCATTATTCACCAGTCACCACTTACTGAGTTTTTTTCAGTTTACAGCATCTTCTCCCTGGGGTACATGGTGCCTGGAAGGTCCAGAAACCTGTGTTAATTCAGCAGAGACGTGGTGTGATGAAATAAAGACAACATTGCTTTGTATGCAAGAAAACATTGCCCTGTCAGATGCTTCCTCATTTTTTCCATCCGTGCTGTCATCCTGGCTTGCTTCACCAAACCTTCTGGTGCCGTTCCCGTGGCTCCCTCGGGGAGCAGGATGAGATGCATGCATGACAGGGAAGCGGGGGGCTGTGAAGACATGACCAGCTGGTGGCATCCAGCACGGGGCCCAGCTCAGGCACGGAGCTGTAACAGCACAGTGATGGGAGAGCACGGCTCCCACCGTGCTTTCAGACAGGCTCCCTGGGTGGTGGCTTGAGGAAGCAACACTGCCTTCATTTGTTGAGCAGGGAGTGGAAGGGCAGGAGTTCTTCTTACTGCTTTTTATATTTCGGTTTTTATTTCTTAGATTGCTTCTGGGGAAGGATGTGTTCCTCGTCAAAGCTGTTCTCCCTAATAAGTTCTTGATGGGGGTTCAGCTGGTGAAAATGACTGAGACGGCATATGTGCACGGGGCTTGTGCCTGGGGGGGCGGTTTCGCTGCTTACCTGAGCTATCAGCTTTATCAACCCTGCCGTAAGGCATTCTGACAGACCTGGTTCCTAGATGGCTGCTGAGATTTGAGCTTCTTAAGCATAGAGATGGGAGGAGAGAAATTCCTCCATTCAGGCATAAAGCTATATCCCATAGTTTTGGAGGGGACCCATAGAGATGTTAAGAAAGTTATTGCCTCAGGTAAAAGCACTTCCAGCCTCCGAGAGGCATGTGCCACATTTCCAAAACTCTGGAGAGGCTCAGAAACATTTGACCCCACCTGTGTCAGAGGGCTGTGTCTTAACAGAGCCGAGGAAGCTGTTATACAGCTGGTTTGAAACTGAGCCTCGCCGCATGCTAACTCTCTGTTGGGTAGGAGTCTCCCTATTCATACAGAAAATTATCCCAAGGAGAGAAAACCTGGTAACAGGGAAATACTATTCGTTGTGAAGTCACTAGTCGGGCTTTTTATGCTCCCTGCGTTCCCTTGGCGGATGTGTTCCTGACAGGCGTGTGGCTGGTGGCCTCAGTAATGTGCCTGCTCTAGGAGAGCTGCCCTTCTGCTGGGAGAGCTTTGCCGGCACACCGGAGCCCTGGCCTGGGGGCAGCCGTCCGTGTTACTTCAGCCCCAGATCTCTCCGGAGATCCAGGCTGCCAATTGTGTCAAATCGTTGGTTGACACCGTGGCACGAATGACTGCCCTTGGGGAATTTAAGATGGGGCTGACAAACTCTCTCTAATTTGTGTTCCAGGCATGATGTTGACTCTGGTCTCAGGGGGGGAATTGTTAGCGAGTTTGTTGGCTGCAGATATATATCTACACACGCATTTCCCAAACATCCATTTGGCTGTCAGCCTCATAAATGCCACTGTTCTGGGAGTGAGCCCTCCTGTGTCAGCTGTTTTACCTCCACAAAACTTAGTGAGCATGCTTTATCCAGTTTTCTCCTCTGGGATTCTGAAAGATGCTGAATGCTGCAGAGCCCCTAATGAGCTTTTCCTTTACTAATGGCGTCTCAGTTTCTAACTCCATCTTCCTTTCCAGAAACGCGAAGGCCTCCTTCAGACCACTCATGTTACCGAGGAGCTGACAACTACAACAGAGTAAGCACAAAACACTTCAGCTTTGGAGTGTGCCTGTGGTGCGTGATGTGAGACCATTTACAAAGATGAAAAGAGAGACTTAATCTTCCCTCCGACCCTGCTAAATTAACAAAATCCCTTAATGCAGTGCTTTTTCAACTATATAGAAATAATTTGGTCTCTGGAAATATGTTACAAAGGAGAAAAGTGTCTTCTTGACATTCTTGTGTTACAGAAGCTTTTAACTGAATAGTTCTTTGAAAGTGACCCTGCCTTCCAGAAGTAGCCATATATAACTAATTTCTGCCCAGTGCTGTTGCTTCTCTCAAGCGAAGGGCCAGTGTAGACATTTTGGGGAAGAATTAGTTTAACAAGAGGCATTCTTTGAAATAATTCTCAAAACTGAAGCGATACTCTGTTAAAATTGTAAGGAGACATGATCTCTGTTTTCAATAGTATCTCAGGACTAGAGCTCAGCAAAAATAAATTAAATAAATACACCTCTTCCCTCTCCAGTTTTTGCAACAGATTACTTTGCTTTATGTTTTTATAGTCCTTTTTATAAGGAGAAGGCTAGACATGCACTCTGGCTGCAAATAAAAGCTGAGTTTTTCCTTCACGTGGCCCGAAGGCAACTCTTCTAAAAGGGGCTTACATGAGCCCTCCTTCAGTTTATCAGTGTATTGGCTCCCTGTAGAGTTGGCTCAGCTTTCCATGACTTTGAAGATAAATGAAGTACCACGCGGCTAGCTCAGTGGGGAAGATCTTTCAGATGGAAATGCTCAAAAATGAGATCATAACATCTCTGTGTGGACATTAAAGATCTCATAGTGTTTTCTGTAGAATCAGAGCTGTGCCTCAGGTTTCTGGGCCAAAATTCCTCCCCTCACTCCCGTGCTCTTGAACAGTGTAGTTAGTTAGCTTGTCCTCTCCTTCAGATGTGGTTTGTAAGATGTAATCTGTGGAGTGGGGGTTAGGCATTTTTTTAGCAAGAAAGATGTTTGCAGATTTGCATGTGTGTTTTTACGTGTATTTTATTAATTTTTTTTAATATTACACAGTATTAAGAGGTTTACTGTTTAATGTGTTGCATACCTGGATGTAAGTGTAGTTACAGAAAATGCAGTGATCAGCAGAATCCAACATTCACTGAATACTTTCAAATTCCTCTGTGCAAATCAGAGCCTGATTCTCAGCTGATAAACATCTGCCTGTGTCTGGTGATGTCACTGGCTGTGTATATAATTCATATTTGGCAGTTTTATTTACATAACATCCAGATGTGATGTATGTTTTCTTTCTTCAGAGAAAACAGATTAAAGTGAGATGAATAGCCTTGCTCCTTCTGAGCTGTGTGGTGTAGCATCTGATGACTATATTTCTGGAAACTGTACACAGAAGTTCATTTGTTCATTCACTCTTCATCATAAAAATAGTTATGCATAAAAAATCACAATTATGTGTAAAACATAATTACGCATTTCCATTCATTTCGAATATATGCCCCTGGCATCACTGGTGGTCTGCTGGGGACATTCCTGCAGCACGTTGGGTCTGGTCTGTGACATGCTCAGCCTTCTGACTTGGTAGGAGTGGTTAGCCCTCGGCATCTTGCAGGAAAGGGCCCGTTAAGCCCACGGTCTTGTCTTTTCAAAGTGATTATTCATGAACTAACCCAGTATTTTTGAATGCTCTGACTTGCAGGATGATGATGGGAAGATTTGGTAAGTAACAAAGTTGACTCTGAATTTTTTTTTTATTTATGTCAGAAATCTTGTCTGTTTTCCTTCAGCGGGTCAAGACAGTGGATTGAGCAACTCTGTGGGGCTGGAACATATTGCAGTGGCAGGTTTTCTTACTCCTCACAGATGTGGAGCATAATGGGTAGAACCAAAACATCCAGTATACTGCTTGTGCTCTTTAGAGTGCTCTGTGTTGATTTGTTTTCATTTGTAAGTAATGAATAGTGAAAATGCTGCACAGGGTAATATTTCCTAGTACTGGTGTTAGTAGCTTTCAAGTAAAAATCTTTGCAACCCCTGGCAATAAGAGTTACACCTTCTTCATAACATATGACCATTTAATTTATAGTCAAATGAATACATGAAAATTACGGAAGCAAAGGTGTACGGTACGAGGTCTAAGAAAGCTCTGTTTATCTGTCCACTTTCAGTGACCAGTCAGCCCTCTCTAATACCTCTGCATGGAGTATCTTCTCTCCTCCATGTTCACTAGATTTTAGGGTTTAGACCTTACCAACTGTAGGTCTGGTCTTCTAAACAAAAACCAATTTTTTTTGGTGTGGCTGCTGAGAGACTTCTGGTTTTGCATTTAGTTAGTGGCACTAAGTCACCGCTTCTCACCAGAGAGGTGTGGGCTCCTGTAAAGGACTGTGTGTGATGAAGAACAAGTCATTTAATTTCTCTATTCCCCAGTTATAATATGTGAATGGTACGATTTTCCCTCTTGCAGAGTATCTACATTAATAAACAATAAGGTACTCGGAAAATAAGTAATGTCAGGGGAGCTATAGGGGCTAAATAACATAGCTTCAGATTTTAACATCTTAAACCCCACATACTTTTCCAGCATTTTTTATGCTTTGTTTTTTTTTCAAATGCAACTGCAATTGGTTAGATTACTAATTTTTTCTTGTTTTACCAGATGATGACAATTGTCATCCAAAAAACTCAGTGTTTGGAAAATTTCAGTCATCCCAAAGCTGCCACAGTGTGAAATGTTGCACTAATGTAGTCAACTTAGTAGATTTTAGATTGGATTAGATATTGTTATACAATGCTTTAAAGGCCTAAACATAATTTAAATCTTCATACTGCATGTAATTGTATTGCTCTTCATATACCGCTGAGTAAGATTTCACTTGTGTTCAGTTTTAAGCTTTACTGAAGTCAGGGGTACTACCACTAATTTTAAATTAACCAAATGAATATCTGATTTTGACTCTGAGCGGTGGATGAAACCGTAGCTGTCACTGTAGCTGTAGTGCACCAAAACCAGGTGATGTTTCAGTGGCTCATTGTTTAAGTTAGGGTTGAGGCATAGTCAAAATTTGTGTTTTCATTTTTCTTCCACCTACAAATTCCATGTACCAATTATGAATCGCAGAAAAGGGAAGTCAGTGAACGACATGTTTATTTTCAGTTACCTCTAAAATTCCCAGGGGAGTTTGCTCTGGCATTTAGTTAGACATCAAAATAGGGTGATAACTTTTAGCTTGAGCCACCGTTATGTGGCTTTCTGAGAAAGACCTTTAAGCTTGGGATACATAACCTGCTTCCCATATTTGGCTGTTGGAGGTGTATTGATTTTTTTTTTTCCCCCCCATAAAACCAGAGCGTGATGCCTTTGACACACTTTTTGATCATGCACCAGACAAACTCAGCGTAGTCAAAAAGGTAAAAAATAAAATTCAAGTTTTATTTTCTCCACTGCTTTTTTTCTTATGCTTTTGGAAAGATATTCAGAAAGATCTGGAAAATAGCAGAAGAGGATTCTGAAATAGTGAAAAGGGTGTTTATCCCCCTAATATTCCTGTTTCAAAGCCAGGTGATACCTGGATGCATTGGCTTGGGTCAGGCTTCTCTCATTACTCTCATTTATTGGCCAAGGCTTTTCCAGGTAGCACTGCTAGATCCAGTCAAAATGATGCAGGTTAGAAAAAACTACTTTGCAAAGTATTTGCAGTGGTACGGATCATTCTGACTGGACAGTCATACGTGCTTTTATATCCCAAGTGCTGTCCTCCAGTGAGGAGGGGCTGGGCTGTAGGCTAATGAGCGGCTGGCCACGGTGACCCCTTCGCTAGGCTCAACAGCAGCCAGAGTTGTGCACGTGTCTTCAGCCTCAGTCTCCCCAAGAAGCATTTGCTGTTTGGTTTTCAGCTCATTCTTGTACTAAAGGTGATCTTCCACAACTGGAAGAACTTTTCCAGAGTACCCTGAAATGTGACTCACATGTAAATAAGTTTGCTAAATATAAAGCTTTTACAGAAGAGCTGCTTTTGTCCCAGGGCTCTTCTGCTTAACAGTAATTCATATGGTCCTCTGATCTCTCCTCCAAGGCTAAGCATCATCATCGCAAAACACACCTATCCAGACATATTCTTGGCATGGCTCTGTGCTGGGCAGAGTGGAAGGGTAAAGCAGTTGTTGGTCTCTGCCAGCACTTGTTAGTTTTAGAGAACATGTAAGGAAGAGACTCCGTGTTGTTCCATCAGCTAGTTCCAACATGGCTTTTAAGCTATTTGTTAGACCGTAGTATGCAAAGATTAGTGTTGAAATTTGTCCCTTCACTTCATATGAAACAGGATTTTTCATATGAAACAGCATTTAAAATAATGCTGTGAAGTCTTTGGAAGATTTTCTTTCCAGTCTGAAACGTCTTCCAGAAGACTCTTTTTAAAGTTGATAGAGAATTAAGTTAACTCTGTCCATGCATACAAGTGTTAACACCCAACTTTGTGTCCCTTTTGGAAGTGCTAGCACTAGGCTGGCAGATCTCTGCTTCTATACATTAGCACCGATCTGGCTCATAGTAGCAGGATCTGCATGGCTGCTTCCTTTGGGAATAGAAATACCAGAATCGTGTTACATCCCAACTGTAATTTGCTAATTGATCACTCCAGGAGCAGAGGTGTGTGCAGAACAGAGGTGTACTGTTGGCATCTTCTCTTTCTTGGGAGCCTTAGCTCAGTGCTGCTGATGCCTTGCTCCCAGGCAGTGGATCTTCTCCAAGAACCTGAAGAGATTAGTGTGGACACTAAATGCACCTACAGCTTGCTTCATCTTCACAAAGAACCTACAAAAGAACCAATGTCATCACAGCCTTTTCCCATGACGCTAAAGTATGCTTTATGTGCTAGGAAAAATAACTAGTAAGCTGTATGTAATAGCACCATCTGGTGACTTCTGGCATATGGTGCAACAAAAATGGCTATATGATTGAGTTTTTTTCTGTTTTATGTACTTACTTATGCAAAAATAAATAGCACACATGCATATTTGTTAAGCTTAAAAAATGTATTAAAAGATTGTGTTAACCCTTTCACATAGGCATTGATTAGTGTCTAACATCGCTGGTTCTGGTGTTTTCTTTTATAGTCTCTCATCACCTTTGTGAACAAACACTTGAATAAACTGAATTTGGAAGTAACGGAGTTAGAAACCCAGGTAGGAGACTTTGTCTTTTTGTATGTAATCTAACTGTGTAAATTGCAAATCTGGGCCCTCTCTCCATAAAACCATGTTACGGAACTGTTTATCTTTGGGCTTGTTAATTTACGGGATCAGGGCTCTGTCTTTTTTAAGTATGAATGACATTCACTGATGCTTGCTTCCTTTACTCATGTTTACGTCTACTTCATATTGCTATTGATTTGTGTTACAAGGTGAAATTCTTGGATATTTAATAGGGTCATATTGACTGTAGAATATGGATGGATTTCAGGGCAGCTTGTCTCTTGGATCAAAGTGGAGTGCTGCAAAGCAGTTGCTATAGTTATGGGTGGATGGCGGGTTGTGTCTTTTCTAGCTGTGAGGGTTCATGATGAACTGGGGTAAGCTCTTAATAGCTGGCTGCCTGGGGCTCTCGGGAGGAGTGTGGACTGCAGTGTGCAGTTCATCACAGAGATATCAGTGCTAGCTTTGATCACATCAAAGTGGGACTGGAAACAATTTTGCTGTTGCAGCAAAGGCCTTCATATCCTTCTCTTTACCCTGCTATCTTGTGAGCACATGCACTGTGCTTGCTTCTCAGCAGTGTGGATTAATGACTCGGACCTCCTGTACTGCAGTGGCTTGACTGCCAGTGATATCCAGGTTAGTTTGTTTAAAGCTAGCGGACGTGACTGTCAGCCACCACCGTCTGCTCTGAGGAGTTCTCTTGTCTCTAGCACAGAAGTTGGTACCGAATATGCTTGAAAACCTTAAGTAAGTGAATTTCAGTCTCAGTAGGGTAGTTCTGACTTTACAGATAAAATTAAGCAATTTTCAGGCATGGGCTTGGCTAAGCAGAAGCAGCTGTTCTTTCCAGAGTTCACCGGATGGTTATCCTATTGTCCTGGCAAAAAAACAAGCATGGCATCTAGAAAATTATACCAGGAGTATAGGTAATTGGTTTGAGCCTGGCTTAGTTTAATATCCGTCATTCACTGCTATTTTATAGCTTTGGTGAAATAAATGGGTGACTGGATCTGTCACAAATTGTTACTTAATGAATCATAGAATCATTTAGGTTGGAAAAGACCCTTAAGATCATCAAGCCCAACCGTTAACCTAACCCTGCCATTCCACCACTAAACCATGTCCCTAAGTACCATGTCTGCCCATCTTTTAAATACCTCAAGGGATGGGGACTCGACCACTTCCCTAGGTAGCCCATTCCAATGCTTGTCAATGCCTTGGAAGTAGCCAACAATTTATTTTTGAAAAGGTTAGGGGAAGTCACATATGCCATATCAGGATCACAAGTGAGAAGTCTGTTAGAAATACATAACATTACCCACATTAGGCAGTAAGTAGTCATCCTGTCTGGTAGGAATACTCAATAGGATTGATGAAAGTATTTAGTATATTATTTAGTACTTACTGAAACTGTAAACAATCTATTTTGACTTGGGGGAAAAAAATTCTTTTGTGAAGTTAAACTTCCTACCTGTGACAGGGGAGGCTTAATTTCAAGTTCTGATTAAGGGCAGAGATTTGAATGCCCAACACACATGACTTAAGAGGGATTGTGGTTGAAATGACCAGGTACTGTAGTAGTAGGACTGGGAGTATATAATGTGTAAACACATTTTGCAGGAAGTTGTCTTTTTTTTTTTTTAATCAAAAAATCTTTGTTAAATACTGTAGTGAAGTTGGCAAGATTTCTCAAGCAAATAAAAAGAACGTGAGAAAGAGCAAGAACCTAGTAAATAGGTAACTGGCTGGAGATAAAGATGATCTTGTTTTCAGTCCCTGCCTATTCAGACCAAATGCTCTGCAGGACTAAAGAATACAAATTGTAGGTAACTCCCGGGTGAATTGCTTTTAATTTCTTCAGCTTAAAGCTATTTACTGATGTAAGTAATTTAAATAGTTGTTGGCACATGATATTGCATGGGTTAATGCTATAGCTATAGCTGATGGGCTTCCTTGTTTTGCTCAGGAAATGAGAGTAGGGGAAATAATGCTACCAGATGTAGGGAGAAAGCCTTGTATCCTGTGTTTTTTTTTCTTTTCTTTAGAGAACTGTCAAGAAGCAGCTATATCAACAGGCTCTTAAGAAAAGACTGATTTAGCTTGCTCAGCTGCGCTGGTGATAGATTGCAAGGGTGTAGGTGAATCCAGGGAGCAGATGAAACAAAGCCCTAAATGCTTGTTACGCTTGCTGTCAGTTCCTTGCTATGCCTGAAAGGAGCAGTCTGTGACTCCTGAACCATCTTACACTTCTGTGCTAGCAAATAACAGTGTTAGAAATCAAAGTATGTCATCTGGGCCAAGCATTCTTTGTTCTGCTTGTTTATGAATGCTTATTTGAAAACAAATGCTTTCACCTAGGAATGTCATCAGTATTTCTATTTAGTTTGCAGATGGTGTTTACTTGGTTTTGCTCATGGGTCTCCTTGAAGACTATTTTGTTCCACTTCACAACTTCTACTTAACACCTGAAAGTTTTGATCAAAAGGTGGGTAGAAACTCTAGGTTGTATTCTTTCGGCTTTGTTGCCACGTGATATTTTCCAGTCATTGTGTCCTTTCTCTTTGTGCCCAGTAAATCAGAACCTGGTATATTCTTCCTTTTAGGAGCTGTAGCAAAGATGCACTGGCTGTAACACTTGGTAGTTAATACCACTAAAAGTTGCTTGTGAAACAAATGGGTAAATTCCCCAAAGCTAAGGAAGAAAGGTATTCTGTTACTAGCATCAAACAACGCTATAAAGCTCATGAATATCTGGAATGAATAAATCAGGAATAAGTGCTTTGTACTGTATAGTACTTTGCATAATCAAAGTGATTTATTAAATTGTAGTACTGCCTGAAGTGTTTTTGTGTGCAGAGATGCTTTATTGTGCTGGACAGCAGAGCTGATGCCTGGCCTTGCCTAGTACGTACTTTGTAAATAGGCAAGAAAGACAAAAGATGAGAGATGGGAAGCTCTGCTTTAGCGGCATAGTACACACTGGGATTGATATGGAGATAGAGCTTCTTCCCAAGGTCACAGAATGTCACCCCTAAAAACTCTCCCCTCATCTCATTAGTAGCAGTTGCCTAATACCCATTAGTTCTTTTTCTGTAGCTTATTTAATGTTCCTACAAACCAAGCAAATAAATACCATTACTTGGTATGTAAATGAGATACTGTAGTAGAAGAGGTGGTACCTGGGCCATGATCTTTGGGTGATCTGGGGTTAGAAACTGTATGTTGAGTGCTCAAAAGTAACATGTTTTAGAGTTGATCTAAAGCCAAGGTGGATGTCCTGATCCTGCCAGGGAGGGAGCATGCAAAAAATTGCCTGTCTGAAGTCACTTTGTGAGCACAGACATCTGGTTCTGTGTCCAGTTCCTGACAGGATCATTGCCAACGTTGCTGACTTAGCTTGTCTTTTTTGGATATTTCTTTCTGTTTGTTAAGGAGTAAATGACTTGCTGCCTAACAGTGTCTTAGACAAAACGAGCTTTGAGGAAAAAGAGTGGATTCTTTGCAGTCTTGATTGTCTTACTCATAATCAGGGTATTAGAGATGGAAGGAGATTAAATAAGTGTTAGTCCCACACTTGCTTCATTGTCCTGTGTCCTTCCTACTGTTAACAAAGAGTGCTTAAGACATATTTTATTATTACAACCGAAAGTTTGCTTCTTTCTGCAGTTGTTCCTGGATATGCACGCGCATCTGTGTATATTCGGTGCCTGGTATCAGCATACTCTGAGCGTGGTTATGCTGGCGTAATGCATCTGTCCCCTGCTTTTTATTCTGCCAGGTTCTGCAGTGGAACGGATGCAGGTATTGCATTGTCTGAGCTGGAGCAGGAGATGGCTAGGTCAGGAGTGGAAGCATTGGCAAATATTAAAAGATTGAATGCTTTGTAAGGCAAGGGCTGTTTGAAATGGTGGGTTTTTCATAATGACTTCAGTGCAGTTTGTTGCTGTCAGGCACCCCTCAGCAAAAGTACATGGTCTCCAAGGGATGTGACTTCATCATTGGTACAATAACCCAGCTTTGCCTGGGTGGATCATATCAGCATTGCAAGAGGAAATTGAGCAGGACCAAATGAGTGCCGTTACAGACCCAGGCTAACGTGCCGAGCCTGTTGGTCCTATAGGTTATATAGGGTTTGTTGACTTCCTGAGGAGGTGACTTGTTGCTGTTTGGGAGATTAAAGGGGCTCTCTGAAGGCAGGAAGTTAGGGTCTGGTAAGAGGGGCTTCTTTAGGTGTTAAGTTTGTGGACAGGATGGGAATTAGTTTATTCTGAATGTTGTACACTCCACAGGAGCTTGATAGAGCAGTGGGAAAATGGATATCTATTACATCTTACACAAGCACTCCTTTATAGCTTTCTCTTGCTTTTTTATTCTAGTATCTTGAATTTTCACCCCTGTAGAAATGCAGGATGCTGAGTTGTAGCCAGTACCTGTTCAGTTATGATTTTGTGGTTTAAATTCATAAAGATTATCCAGTATTCCTGAAGTAATATTGTGATTTTGTGTGGAGACTCTGCCTTGAGGAAAGGGGATTTGTAAATCAAAGAAGGAGAGGTAGACTCTGTGTTTTTGGGAAAGGAAAATATACTTTCATCTTGAAAGTGATTGGTTTTGTCACAATCAGTGAGGAGGAACTGTAGCAGGTAAAAAGAGATTAATAAAGTCCTGAGCAATAAGCGCCAGTGAAAGGAGCCTTTCTTTCTTGTTGTAGGAGACCTTTTTATGCAGAACTCCCTGATTTTCAAGATGAGTAGTTTTAATTAAATCTCTCCCTCTTGCTATGTATCTCCAGAACTGTCATGTGCAGTAACAAAAATGCACAGAATTCGTAATCCAAATTACCTTGCTTAAATTTCAGTAAGTGTGGACAAGAAAGCTGCTCTGTAGATCTCTTTAAACGGTAATATTTGTTCCTCAAAGGAGAGATTAAAAGACACCCACTGTCTTGCATTTTGCCTTTTTGTCCAGTAAGCATGGACAAGAAAGCTGCTATGCAGATCTGAAACCATAATGTTCACTCCTCAAAGGAAAGATTAAAAGAAATACCCACTTTCTTCCTTTTTTCCTTTTTGTCCTTTTTTTTTTTTTCCTCTGACGTTATGTTCATGTATGATCCTTGGTGGCTTGTTCAGAAAGCTCTCTCTGTAGAGTTGTGCCTAGCTTGTTCACTGCATAATCTGTCTAGGAACTGCCACCACCAAGGATTTTTTGAAGCATGTGCTTCATTAGAGAGACTGAATTTGACTATTATCTCTGTTTTCAAGTAGAGGAAGCCAAAGCACCAAGAGACTGAGGGATTAGCACAAGGTCATGCAATACACAACCTGGCTCCTTGATGATGTGATGTTGATGTTTCTTGATATGCAGCTGATAATAATGCAGAGAAGACTGAAGTTGTTTGAAAATAATTCCATTAGTGTCCCTATTTCTTCTTTCTTACACACCCATATGTACTTTCTCATGTCTGTTCAGTTATGTCACTTCTGTGACATACCTTGTTGCCTGGATAGCAACTGATCCCTTGCCTTGTAGCTGGAAATGTTGATCTTGGGTACAGGCAGGAAGAACTCAACAAAATGCAGCTCTGTTGTAGTTGTTACTGGGAGGTCTCTGGCCTCCACAAGACTGAGATCGGGGCTTAATGGAGCTTCCTGGTTCATGTGGTACCCACTCACATTTTTACACTTGAAATTTGGAAATCTTAAATTACTTCCTTTGTATCAAAAAGCGAATATTTGCTCTACAATGATACAAGGTTTCCTAGTCTCTCATATGTACTTTCTGCCATGCTTAAACATGGAGATGTTTAATATTGATTTAAACAGAGTTATCATTCTCTATTTAAGTACAGAGAGAATAAAGCATTTTAAAATTTTGATTGAAGGTTTTTAATGCCTATGTAACTTTGAGATTCTAAACATTTTACCTCTTTCAGGTTCATAATGTTTCCTTTGCTTTTGAGCTGATGCAAGATGGAGGACTGAAGAAACCGAAAGCTCGTCCTGAAGGTATGGACGTGCCGTGTGGCTTCAAAATGTATATAAAGACATAATAGCAGGTGCATTTCAAGTGCGACTCCATTCGAAGACAGTAGCAATAGTACCACAAAGTGGAGCTGTAAATGCGCCCCTTCACAGTTTTCCAAAGGATTCATTGTGTCTGGGGTATATCCTTACCTGTGTTTCTTGTCTGGAATAGATTCACTGAGGCGTGCAAGTCTAGCTTTAGTGAATGATCCAGGAGCTGTTCAGTGCTGTGTTATAAATTCGACTGGTATTCTCAAAACCAATACAAGCAGGAACCTTTTCATAGTCTAATTCTCATAATTCTTACTGTTAGTGCTAGTTTCGACTCCTGTGATAAGATTTTGGTGACAGATAACTGAAAGGCTTTGGGTTTTTTTAGGAGAACCAATGCCAAACTCTCTCTTTGTGATTTATGTTGATTTGGGAGTCAGAATTGAAAAGTGTAAAAACTGAGTTTTTACTTTAAAATCTCTGAACCTTGAAATTAATTAATGATGAGGTCTGCATTATTGCTTGCACTAGGGGTAGAAAGAGGAATTAAAACTTCATGACTGCTAAATGAGCAATTTTTATTCCTGATGTTACAAACTACGTATGTGTTAGAGGCTTCCGCAGAGTAAAGAAAAATGAGGAGCCCCCAAGAAATGTTTGGCCTGACTTAAAATGAGACAAATTGGTGATAGTAAATAGATAAACAAATAGTGGAGCTGGTTATAGTGGGGAAAAAGGCAAAAGACAATATTAAATGCATATGTAGCCTGTCAGTGTTGTTCTTTTAAATTTGGGGATCAAAAGTGCTCCTGAAGAATTTGGCGAAACAAGACACTGACCTGGGAAAGTAAAGGAGTGTTCTGAGTATCGGAGCTGTGTCAGTGGGTATGTGAGGAGGACAAGGAAACTGGAGAAATACGAATGCGCAATCCGGAATGGCAGTTTCTTGAGTGGAAGGGTTAAAGAGGTTGCAGTAGGAGACCAGGTAAGCTAGATAAGCCTGTTTTGAGAGAGAAAATGTTAAAAACCTAGGAGAAGACTTCTCTGAAAGTTTGTCCTTTTTTTTGTTTTGTCTTCATCGGTTGATCTGACAGAGGTTACCTTCCCATAAGGCTATCTTATATCCTTACGCTATCGTGAGTGGTAGAACGCTATAGCAGATCTTTTGTTTGCTCCTGACAAGGTGTGTAGATTGAGTAAGCAGCAGAATATTTGAAATGTTTTGCTGATTGAAAATCTAATTATTAATAGAAGCTAGAGAGCCAAATTAGCTCACAGGACATCCCTTTTCGCTTTTTGCTGCTGCAGGATGTACGGTCTCTTGTGTGTATTCCTTCCTCTTCTGTGTGCGTACCTGTTGCCGGCAGCAGTAGTTCAGAGTTGTTGGAGTGAGTGTGCTCACGTGGCGTCTGCGTGGCTGGAATTGCCTGCAAAACTGACTGTTGGTCTTGAAAAGCTGCTCCTGTGGAGAGGACAGTAACACCCTGGGCTTTGCTTGTCACCATAGTTTCATCCAATCCTCTGTAGGATCTTGACAGTCAGTACAGTCATGTACATGTTTCTCAGAAGAAGAATTCATTTTGTCATAGACTCTGATGCTCTGCAAAAAGTTTTGTGTATGTATAGTGTGTTAATGCCATACTGATCTATTAATTCCTAATAGGCTGGAAAACCTGTTAGGTGAATCCACATCCTTTAGCATGAATTGGGAAGTAAAATGCCTCTTGAATTAGTTGTAGGGTTTTCATGTAAAACATTGTCTACAGCAGAACAACATGATTTTTATTTCTGTAGCCCATGCTTTCTGCAGTGCTTGCATGAAAGAAGTCTTGTTTAGTATTTTAGTGTGCCTTTGTACAGGTGATAAACAAAAATACAAGCATACAGGGCAGCTCCTCTTCTCTGTTCTTCCAGCCCAATTCAGTAGATTGAGCCAGCAGCAGAACTTGATGCTGAGTTATTGCAGCAAAAATATGTTCCAGTGGATTAATTTATTAGACTCTAACAGGGTTGTTATGGAGTGTGAAAGTTTTAAATGAATAGAATATTTGAAACTATTTTGGTGATTTATGGCCACTTTCAGTTAACATTTTATTAGTTTTTGTTGGTAATGTAATGACTGCACATGCTTCATCTTAAAATAAGAAATGGGAGGCTGAGAATATGCTTATTCCTGGGAATGCCTGTTAGGCACTGATCAATAAGGAACACGGTAATCGCCCACGCGGGGAGGATGCATGTCACACCACTGTGCTCTTTAAAGCAGGAGACAAAGGCATAGCAAGGTCTGAAAGTTAGGAAAACGTCAAACTAGAATTACAGTATAACTTTTGCAACAGCGAAGGTACTTAACAATCAGTCTGAATTGTCAAGGGATGGAGGTGGAATTTCCACCACTGGAAGATTTAAAAAGAAAAAAAAGAAAACAAAAAACCATGCGATGTTAAGCTTATTTTTTTGATCCAACCACAGCTTGGTTAGTAAGCTCAATGCAGGATTTCCAAGGTAGAGTTCTCTAAGGACTGTGCTGTGCATGAGATCAGACTATATGACCACAGTCGTTTCTTCTGACCCTAAATTTATATGCCAAATTACACTGCCAAATAAAAGAGCTAGACCTTCTTTCAGTGATGGGGCCTCCCATACCTCTCATTCCTCAGGGTAATGGCAGGGGTGATCAGCAGCAGGTACCTAGCCCAAATTGCTGTTGGAGATCAGCAGGAGTCAGCCTTAAATGCCTCCCTGAGGGCAGATGGACGGTGCCTGCCCAGCCCACTGCTGCAGATTTGGGCCCCCTTCCAGCTTCTGCTTGTGCTCTTTCTGGTGCCCTTAGCTCTTGCTCTGGCACTTGGCTGCCTCTTACTCCCAGCTGCTCTCTCCTTGGGATGTGCCCTGGTTTCCTGACTGTCCTTCTAGCTTCCAGCAATGTTTCTGCTCTACCCTCCAGACTTCTGTTCCTCTGCACTGGCACCTTGATCTTGATTTATAGCATAGGCAGTTCCTGCCTCTGAACTGATGTCAGCCAGAGGCGGGAACTGAACCCTGCAAGACTTGATCACACTGCTTCATGCCGTGGCAGCTGAGATGGAGGTTATGGTGGCTCAGGGAAAAGACCCATCCTGCTTTCAGTGGAAGGGTGAAGATGGGTGGCATGGGGAAAAGAAAACTGTTTGGGAGAAATGGGGCAAATGCACTACAAATCTCTAACTGCTACAGAGCTGACTGGGCAAGGTTTTTTTGATATTTTCATAGTGCCAGCACTGTTTTGTTTAATTGTTTAGCGAGCAAAAGTGGCTGCCAGTGTCAGTGGGTGAAATCTGCTGGTGGTTGTCTATTCTCCAGTTATTTGCCTTAATTTCCCAGCTTTAGGAATGAATGGCTGTTGCAAAGTGTTGTTTCCCATGGCTACATTTGCATTTTAAACCCATCTCTGAGGGAACTGGGTCTTGGTGCAGAGGAACAAATGCTGTTTCTGGCTATTACCTTACTGAGAATGCTATAGTAGTAAGCAACTTTCTGTGATACCTGGAAAACTTAAAAATATTTTATATTTCAGTCATCCGGGTAAGCCATCTCATTTTTTTCAGGGTGCATTACTTCACAGCAGTTAGGACCTTTCCTTTCCTTGTGGCAGCAGAAGATTCTTTTGCAGATGCAAAATACAAAACCGTAATTGAAATATGTAAAATAATACAGGAAAGAGGCAGGAAAAAAAGTTTGAGAGGTTACTGAAAATATCAGATGAGAGTGTTATTCATTATGGGGTGGGAGGGAAGGGTGGAGAGGTCCTGGCAATGATTCTTCAAAACAGACAGTAGGTGTTGCCCCTGGACCTCACATTAATTGTACTTCGTCTGTTGATTGTTTGCTGACTTCCTAGTTCTTTGAATGATTTTCTAATTTTCTGTTCTTCTTTACTTCTGCTTCCATATGTGTTGTTTACTGTGTGTGTTTTGCTTCCTCCTCCTCCTTTCTTACATCTTTTATCCAACCTTTCTTCCCGCCTCTTCAGCCTTCCCTGTGCTATGCCTCCCCTCCATAGTCCCTGGATTACATGTCTGTGGTATTTCCTGGCATTTTATTAGAGTAGTAGGTTGGGAGGTGCTAGCAAAAAAGCTTTTTGTTGAGAACTGTTCCAGACCTGTTCCCTGGCTTCGCATGGTAAGAAGATAACAGAAAACTTTGAGTCTGCTGAGAGAATTCAGGCTTTGTTTATTTGTGGACTGTATCATTGCAGAGTAGCAGATGTGTGAGGTTCAGTATCTCTCATGATGTGTGTGGCTACTTGTTTGCTGCTTCTGTGGCCAGTGAAGTCATTGGCAGTATTTCCCAAAGCCTTTATCCCAGGTGTTGGACAGAAGTAGACTTTCTCTGTAACCGGTTTTAGATGAGGGAAGGGAGTTATCTTTCCTCCATTTCCCAGAGAAGTTAGCTGTGACTGTATTGTGGTGAAGGTGTTTTCAAGTGCATCGTATGGGATGTTTAAAAAACTTGACTTGGGGAGATCAAAATTCTGTGGGTTTTTTTGTTGCTGATCCCACCGGCTCAGAGATGCGGGGACTTCAGTTCCTTTGAGGACAAACAAGGGAGAACAAAAAGCAAATTAAGGATTTCTCCTTTTCTTCCACAGATGTTGTCAACTTGGATCTGAAGTCTACCCTCAGGGTTCTGTACAACCTCTTCACAAAGTACAAGAATGTTGAATGATCCTGGAAGCTGCTGAGGTCTTCATCCTTCCAACCTCCTTAGGCAGAAATGATAATAAACACACCCTCTGCACGCTCCCTTTGTGCCTTATGCTATACTCGATGCATTCTTTCTACAGTTGATGTGGTCTCTCTGTAGCTGTTTGTATGACAATCCCACTGAAAATCATGCATGTGTATTCTCTAGTCACTTGAAAATGTGTAGATATTTCACACTTTTACCAGAAGATACTGTTGAGTCTGTTGTTTGTTATCATCAACAAATGTTCTTTTGCTAAAGGAAATATACCACTAACTAATAAGGGGCGAAAACGTGAGGCCTTCTTCATGGCTGGAGACTCCTTGATGCTATAATAGACTTTCTTTTGCATACTCCTTGGTTGCCACTGACATTTGATGATTTATCAGGCTTAAGCCTTAGCAGTAGGAAATCAGCATTGGAATTTATTTAGAAGCTGAGCCTTTTCTGTTAAGTAAGGTTTTTTATGTTCTGTTAGGTGGGTGGGACTGAGGGGAAGTAGAGGCACTATCTGAAGCTAATGGCAAAAGCTTCAGTTTTTGCATTAACCTCATACTACTCAGTGTTATTTCCATTCAGTGTTTACACAGAGTAAGTCTTGCAATGGGATGACCAGCTAATCTTTTGATGTCTATTTTTTATTTCATCTCCTTTCTAGGATAAATTTGGTTGCTAGACCCACTGTCATCTGTTAAGCAATGCAGCTTCAATCAGGTCAGTCAGGAGCTGGTGAAATAGGTGCAGGATGGATTAATGCATTTTGCCCCCAGTCCTTTCTGTAATGTACATGGGGAATAACGAGCCTGGCAGTTTAAAAGCTGACTCTTCATTTCATGTAGCTGAGTTAAAGGGTCAGATTCATTCCTATTGGAGTTATTGGCAGCTGTTCTGTTCTGGGGGTCAGGCTTTTATAAACAGAGTTTTAGGTATTTACTTTCCTAATGTGTAAAACTAAATTCCCGTATAAATAAAAGCTTGCCTTTACTTGTGGGTTGTGTTGGGCTATGCAAGGCATGCGGTATACATAGTGCAAGCTAATGGTTAGCACTCAAATGCTAAGCTCTTCAGTGATCAGTTATACTTTAAACTAATTTCATCGAGTTGTCCTGTGCCATCCCCAGAAATACTCCACTAGGCTCTGGCCTACTCCTGTAGTCTTTTAAGCTGTTACGGATTTTAGTGGGAATCCGTTTTAAAATAAGATTGCTAGATTTATCTGGTAGAGTCTAGTTACCTCATAGTACTTAACAGGTTTCATCTGTGGAGCTGTTCCTGGCTGGTGATGTGCAGGTGTAGCGATGTGTACAAGGAGCCTGTGCTGGAACATGAGCCGTAGATTTTTGAGGTGAGCTGTGCAAAGGAAATGGGTATGTAATTTCCAGAATAGATTATTTGTGGAATATGCATGCAATAGCACTCCTTTCCTTGGAGTCCATAGGGGAGAGATTTGACTACTGCTTTTACGTATCACAGCAGCAACTTTTCTTTTTTGGGTAGCCATGATTTTGTGCAAAACATGAGGCTGAGTGCCCCAAAGAGGAAGCGGGTAGCATTGCTCTGCTCCATGAGATCACTTGAGCCCTGTTGTAAGTAGGCATCTTTTTTCCCTAAAAGTGAATTTCTTATGCCAAACTTTATTTACCTTTCTGAGTTCAAGAGGAAACGTGCTGTTTGAAGGGTAAAATTTTACAATTGGGATTTTCTCATTCCCCCCCTTAAAGATTGGGGAATTTTTTTAATCTCTGAGGGAGAGAAATGGGCTTCTGCTTCTTTTGTTTTCATTTTTTTGGCTTCTGAGTTCTAGTATTTGATTTACTTGGGTCACCTATTCTCATATGTCCAAAACAAAGATGGAGGGAAATTGCCCTTTCTTTCCATTAAAAATTCAGATCTCATCTACCCTATAAGGTTCTGTGGGGAATCATTGCTTGTCTGTACTTTAGGAGGGAGCTGACCTCTCGCTGTTTACACAGAGCCTAGTACAATTGGACTTGAATTTTAGATGGGGCCACTAGACTCTACCGTGATGCTAGCAATTATTACAGAGGAGACTTGCAGAGGCACTAAGGCCTGGTGGGTCAGCTCTCCTGGCAAGTTAATGAAATTGGTCTAACTTGCATGCGGTGTAATAGGGGTATCGTGAGGCTTGGGAGGTGATTGAACTGAAAGGTCTCTCAAACTTTTAGTTTCATGCAGCGTTATTTGTGGGAAACAAGTCTGTTAAAGAGCTGTCATTCCACCCACCTCCCTTCAGCTGATGTGGAAGTGCCAGTGGTCTTGGTATTCTCTGAGATGCTGGGAGAGCCCTCCAGAGAACTCTAGTTTTTGAAATTGCAAGCAATATTAATATCAAAAGCAAGAAAGTAAGAAGAGGAGACATTTACAGCTGGCATCCTCATTGCACGTGAGAAGATGTGAGCATTCCACTAAGTTTTAGGACAGTCTGTGTTTTGTTCAATTAGGTGTTTCTGGTCAGTCTGCAGAAACCTGAGTCCCTCTTCTACCACATGAGGCATGGGTCCCTTTTAGCATTCCTTTGATTAACATCCCTGTCAGTCAAGACTGCAGGCTTGATGCCCTGGACAGATTGGGGGCGGGTGTCATACCCTGTTTTGTTATGTTTTTAAGTCTCTTGGTAAATGCTGCATAGGGAAAATACATTTTTCCTTCCTTAGCTCCTTGCTGTCTAGCCAGGCCACTCTTCCTGTAGATGCTGTATTTGTTGTTAAGCAGACTCGGAGCAGGGTGGATTTAACTGAACTGGAGCTTCAAGCAGTCCAGTTGACAGGAAGAGCAACATAGGTAAATCTTCTCTAAACACCTGCTTTTGTCGTGCCTTCCTCTTACATATGCATGATACTTTTTTTTCCTCTCAGAAAGATAAGTCAATGTTAAAAAAGTTATCCACGAACTCTTTGTGTTACTGGAGTTTTAGATACATTCCCTGTTGAGTTCATCTGGAATGCTGAATGCTCTGCAGCATTAAAATTTCCACATTTTTAAGTATTAATGAATGTGTGTCTTTTCCAGTCCGTACAACTTGCCTTTTAGGTGCATCTGCTTGACGTACTCCATTCCAGTGAGCTATTCTACCACAAAGCAGCCCAGATACTCCTCAGCTGCATCCTGTTTCTCAAGATGAAAAACCAAGAGTAGCAGATTTTTTTAAAATTGGTTTAAACTTCATAGGGCTTCTTACCCCTCTTACCCACACCCCATTGCTTTTAATATTAATGTAATTTTTAAGACTTTTTTTCTACTGTTTTTAACAGTGTGTACTCTGGATTTCTAACTACTAAAAACCAGCCTTGCAGATAAAATTCTGGACTTGTCATATGCTGGAGACATCCAACTTTGTGACAGGAGTTGTGTACTGTAAGCAAGTTACAATGCAATGCTATGTTTGCTAAAAATCACAGCAGGAGTGTTGTGCATGGTTTGTGACAGTTGTACTATTTATTCAAATAAATAAATGATGATCGCTTGGTTTTCTGTATCTTTTTTTGGCTAAATGGACAAGTCTGTGGGAAGAACTTTTGAAAGGTGGGCTTTGGCTGTCATCTTCATCAAGGGTCCTCGATATATGGTGATCTATGGAGACCTAGCAAAGCACCGATAACAGGTTTCTGGCCCTGGTACAGGTGATGGGACTGTATGGGCAGACACAAATAAGCTCTTCTGTAGGTTCCATCAGCCACGGGTTTTTTTGGTTGTGGGTTTTTTTTTGGTTTTTTGGTTTTTTTTTTAAATATTGCTCAGCTACTGGACCTGATGAAGTTGTTTACCTTTTTTTCTTCTACAAGAGAAAAGTAACTGAATTACACTCTCTGATACTGTTAGAAGTCTTAGGGCCCAGTTCTCCCACAGTGGTATAGGAGGGAAGCTGGGCATGCCGAAGCCAGTCCTGTATGTGTCTACAGAGCACTTGGGAAGCCCAAGTAAGTCTGGAGCGACACTATGTGCTCCCCGTTGCTCTGGTGTGGAGAGAGCATGGAGCAGCTCTCCGATAAAGCAAGGCCATGTGGAAAAGCAGGAAAATGCGTTATCAACATATTATTAACAATAACTTGTTATTGGTGGGAGTGCTGTTGATTCCTTGAATCGTTCTTTGGTGGCTGTTTTTATGTGAGGGCCAGGTGGGGGTGTGAGGGTGTGGGTGTGCATGAGGTGTGCTTTGGGAATGTACAGAACGACGTGGGCGTGGAAGATGGGCATGAAATCAAATGCAACTGTGGTATGGAATTTACCAGTACAGAAGAAGGGATGCTTTACTACAGAAGATGGGATACTTCGTACGCTGGTGGCAACATCAGTTTTTGGAGGAAAAAAGTTGCTTGTCCGTCACGTGTGTTTCAGACTTGTTCTTTTAGCACTGACACTCTGTATTGTGAATGAGGCTTTCAAGAACGAAGTGCTTCGAGTTGCCAATTGAAGTAGGAAGGGACCTAGTGATTACAGGTGGATTTCCCAACTTTTAATTCTTCTTGCTCCCTCTGCCTGCTGATATGAAACTGAATTTGTCCAAAGTTCCCAATAGCATCTCCAACTATACCTTCCTTTTGATTTACTTAGTACATTTCTAGGCTGTGGCATGCACTTCTGCACGGGTAAGAAGGTACTCCAGGTCTTTGCTAATTTGATGTATTGTCATGCTTATTATATGCTTAGAAAATACAGTTAAGTTTGCCCTTTGATTAAGGATTCGGGGTTAAGTTCTCAGTTACTAAGAATTCATGGCAGCTGGAAATCTGTTTTCAACCCACTTTCCTTGATCCCATTTAGCACCTCCCGAACTATCTGTTCTTGTCTATGGCATGGAGCTAAACACAGGAGTCGGTCCCTTAACAGCGTTAAACCAGACCAGCTTAATTAATGTGGTTGGCTGCCGTCACATTCAGGGGTTTCACAGAGGACTGCAGAGTTGCTTTTGCTTTCCGGAAGATTTAAGGAATGTAACTGGTACCTGAAGGAAATGTCCAGGGGAGGTCATTGCTGTAGGGAGCTTTCCCTCTTTAATCAATGATGGAAAAGGGAAGGAAAAGCAGCAGCATTGCCTGCTGGAGGTAACTCTTGTCTCAGATAGATAAACGTTTTGGGCCCTGGTGTGGCTAACTGGCTCTCTTAAGGATGAGTTAATCTCCTCCTGCCTAGGTTTCTCCTTCTACCACGTAGGTAGGGTAGTGGTGACTTGCTTTATAAAATGCTTGAAGGACCGTGAGTAAAAGGTGTGATGCAGCACGATGATTCTGTCTGTTGTTGGCTGCTTTACTATGACATTCAAAGAAAAAGTGCACTCTGAGTCACCCCAAAGACGCAGCCTGGCAAGCAGCCGTGCTGTGCCGTACCGTGGAAGAATGATCGTGTCTTTCTACTACTTTCTGGTATTTCAGGAGCTGAGGAGTTCCATGTTTCCTGCATTTGTAGTTCTGTTTATTTTAGTCTTCAGCAGGGACCAAGCACATAGACAATTACGTTCCGGATACGACTGTAGTTTCGTTTTTTAAGAGTAGTCAGTACCGTGCGGCGCAACTTCCCCCCTGCATACGCCGCGTGCCTCCCGCTGCCCCGCATGGGAGGCTGCAGCTTCGGGGCAGGACGCTCCGAACCTGGGGGTCAGTCCCCTCTCCCCATAAATCTCATTGTGCTTGCTGTGAGAACATCTTGGAAGAGCTGCTGGAGAATTCCTAAAGGAGAGAATAGTAAGTTTGGGAAAAGGGATGCTTGTGGGTGCTTTTTTAAATTTTTTTTTTTTTTTCAACTAAGATTTTCTGTGTCCACATGTATTGTTCTTGCTAAGTCGACATCTCTTCTGATGCTAATGAGCAAATACGGCTCTTGAAAGGTCTGGTACTAAACGAGGAAGTAAAAGTAAGTTTTGGACTGGGCACACAATACGTATTCTCTTTTTTTTTTTTTCTTACTTAGTTTTTAATTCTGGTTTTGTGAAGGCAGAACTATTACTATTAACATTAACATTCCCACTTGGTTTTTGTTCCCTCCTTTGTGTGATCTATTTAGACAACTGTTCCTAGGAAATGCGTTTGAGCTAATGCGGAGTAGGGCTTTTGTCTTTTCAAACAGGAAATAAAGCAGTTGAAACAATGTGGTAACGCTGGTAAGTGCCTTGTGGATATCATACAGCTAGTTTGTATGCCAGAGACTGCTTGCTGGTAGCTCATTAACGCTTTATATCGTATATCAGGGAAGTCTGGGAGCCAGACTGCGTGAAGACTCGGCGAGGAAAAGTGAGCTGATCTGACCCAAACAGAGAATTAGCTCTTTTACCGGTAGTTGTGGCATTGCAACGTTGTGCAATAGCCTAGCTCTAGGCCTGAGAAAAATTCACTTGTTGGCTGTCTCGGCGGGTGGCACAGGAGAAATAAAACACCTCTTGACTTTAAAACAGACACGCCTGTATATCTATGATGTTCTCAGAGAATGAAGGACCAAATTATGCCATTTTGTTTGATTAGTCAATAATTAAACCTCAACTTTATTTAAAAATGTCATCATGAAATGCCTTTACAATCAGTATTCAAGCGGTTGCCTCCTACAATGATCTCTTCTCCCAGTACTGATAAATAACGCGTGCAGGAGGATGGAGGCTGGAAAAAACCAGCATGTCAGTCACGGCTCTGGACAGCAAATTTGAGTGATGGGCTGCAGAGGTTGGTTGCAGCAAACATGGAAGCTTGCATGTGAGAACCAAGTCTTCCATCCTTTCCTATTTCTCATGAAATAGCTAACCCCAAGAAGTTGTCCAAACCCAGTCATGCTCCATTTTATGTTGTTTCTGCAGTATGTTATCCTTTGAAAGGCTGCTGTCTAGGACCAAACCTCTCAGAAGCACAGCTTGCCACATGGAGGACTGCTCATGAATGCTAATTATTAGTAAAAAGCAATGAGTCTATTAAATGGTAAGGAGCTGCAGTTCTCAGGCTCCGAAATGGCTGATAAATGCTGATAAATGTGAGGTGAAACACATGGAGGAAAAACCAATACCGGTGCTCCATTGCATCCCGAATGATGGACTCTGAGTGGAGCATTGCTATTTAGGAATAATGTCTTGGGGATATAATAGGTAGTTCCATTAAAGTGTTAGCTCAGTGCTCAGTGTGATCAAAAAAGCAAAAAGGGCATTAGGCGAAGAGGTATGCAGAACAACGCAGCGAACGCTGCAGTTCTCCTCCCAAAATCTGTGCAGGTCTGGTTCCCAGTGCTTCAAAAAGGATGTGATCGTGCTGGAGAGAGTTCAGAAAAGGGTGACTGGGGTGATCAAAGGTAGTACTGAGTGGTTTCCCTGTGCAGGACAACTAAGATGCAGGTTGTGCTTCCTCAGTTTCTGAAAGAGGTGACTTGGTGAGGGTGTGGGATAGTAACACAGTAGTAACACGGAGTAGTAAAGCGGTGACGTGAGGAATGTGAACCCGTTGGTCTCCTTTGCACTGTGTGTAGTGGGGAGCTTCAGGAGAGCTGGCAGGCAGCAGGTCGGAGCAGGCAATAGGAGCTGGTGCTTCACCCAAGGTAAAGCCACGCTCTTCGGCTCCTCCCTGCTGGATGGTGGGAGACTCAAGGGGTGAATGGGAAGTTCAAGGGAAGCAAATGCCTTGACAGCTGCTAATTACCAGGACTCCAGTTTTGATTTAAGAAGGCTGAGCTGCTGGCTGTTGAAGGGTTTTAGGGAAGTATCTGTATGTGCTTGCTCTGTTTGTTTCCCCCCCCCCCCCCCGCTTCAGCTTTTGGGTACTGTAAGGGACTGGATACTAGGCAAGCTAGTCTTACCCAGTGTAGCAGTTTTAACACTCTTGAGTGGGACACGCAGGACTGAGGCCTTAAATGATAATAACTTAGGCTATTGCAAATTCTAAATTTCAGGCCTTTGCTTATAGTCTTCCAAATTTTAAAGAGTGGCTTTTGATGTTTGGGTTCCTTGGCCAAACAGAAACCAAGGATGCGGCAGGCAGTACACATCCCTTTGGTGTGTCAATAGGGAAAGGAAATAAGACATACACACGTTGAGCATCGCAGCAGAGCTGAGTTCATGTAAGTTGTGGTTTACACAGACGGTTACAGAAGACTTACAAGCAGAACTTCCCAAGGCATAACAGCCGTCAGAAACCTAATTTAAAAGTAAGTTGTCTTTAGGTTGCTCTGTATTAATTAACTTTTCTCCCTCAGTTAATTTAATCTGGGCAGTCTTATCTCAGATGGTTCAGTTGTTCCTCAGGCACTAAATGATCAATTTCTCCTTTCTTACTTTACCAAGCACCTTTTTAGAGGCAGCATTCAGTTTTGCAGCCACCACAATGAAACTAATTCTCTCGCGACCCTTTCCCCTCGTGGCTTGCTGGCAATTTCATACCTGATTTGTTTTACCAGACTGTCGTGGTTTAACCCCAGCTGGCAACTCAGCACCACGCAGCCGCTCGCTCACTCCCCCCCGGTGGGATGGGGGAGAGAATTGGAAGAGTAAAAGTGAGAAAACTCGTGGGTTGAGATAAAGACAGTTTAACAGGTAAAGCAAAAGCCATGCGCACAAGCAAAGCAAACCAAGGAATTCATTCCCTACTTCCCATGGGCAGGCAGTGTTCAGCCATCTCCAGGAAAGCAGGGCTCCATCACGCCTAACGGTTACTTGGGCAGACAAACGCCATCACTCTTAATGTCCCCACCTTCCTCCTTCTTCCCCCAGCTTGATATGCTGAGCATGACGTCCTATGGTATGGTATATCCCTTTGGCCAGTTGGGGTCAGCTGTCCCAGCTGTGCCCCCATCCCAGCTTCTTGTGCACCCCCAGCCCACTTGCTGCTGGGATGGGGTGAGGAGCAGAAACGGCCTTGACTCTATGTGAGCACTGCTCAGCGGTAATGAAAACATCTCTGTGTTATCAACATTGTTTTCAGTACAAATCCCAAACATAGCCACATATGAGCTACTATGAAGAAAATTATCCCAGCCAAAACCAGCACACAGGCTGATGTGCAAAAGCATCCAATCGCTATTTCCTACCAATATTCTTGGCTTGGCAAAATCCGTGTTAAAATACTTGTTCGTGGTGTTTGGCATATAAAGTTACCCAAGAGAGAAGGGTCACTCTGGAGGTCTTCTATGGGCAGCACGCAACAGCACTCGCAACAACTCTCTTGCTCTACTGGGCCTGTAGGGCTGGGTCCTCGTGGCACCTCGCTTCAGGCACCTGCGATAGCAGCTGAGACTGTCTTTTTAGTAACAGAATGAAGGAGGTAACTGAAAAATGAAAATCGGGGCAAGACTCTGGTTTACGTGCTCTGGATTGCTCTTTAAAAGTGCCTGTCCATATCTGCTGATTACAGAGGGAGCCTTGAGAGATGGGGCTTCTAATACAGACATCTCCGGTAGTCAGTACGAGTCCTCTCCTGAGTGAACCTCTGACATGGGGCATCTCCCCTCTCCTACAGCGGCCCTGCAGCACTGAACCTGAGACAGAAGGGAGAGTGTTTCCCCTCCACAAGCAGGTAGCGCTCCCAGTTAGGGAGCAGAGCAGCAGTCCATCCCGGTGGGTACCCGGTGTCCGGCAGCAGCTGGGATTTGATGATTCAGAGGAGCGTAGAAACTCTTCCTGGTCACCATACTGTTGTCTTCTCTGCTCTGGATTTCATACATTTTAGGGCTGTTGGGAAAGAGGAGATCTCTCGCTCGTGCTCCTACAGACGCTGCCATGACACAAACCATACACTGCCGTGATTGTCCAGGGCTCAGAGCTGTGATCCTTCTGTAGTTCCTTTCACCTCTGCAGACAACCATTCATCTGTACAGTTGCAGTATACAACTCTGCTTTCTCTCACTTAAATCAATGTACATTTGGTTTAATAAAGAGCTATCCTACTTATTGCATCAGAATACAGTTTGTAAAAGAGATTGTTCAGTTTCTACTACCTGTAATTTTTTATTGACTTTTTAGTCCTTGCCAAGCTCAAGAATTCTCATTCTCTTAGTCTTGTGGACTTGACTGAAGACCTTTGCATGAACGTTAAGACTGCAAAAGCAAGCGCTTAAAACTGAACATTCCCTAAGCTGCCCTTAGAGCCTGGCTCTATCTTTTGTGTTGTCTGTATAGGCAGTGCAGCACAGCCTTATGTACCCGTGGGTAAAAAATCAGACTCACCTCTGCTTGCACTGTGGTTTGAGTCACGGCTTCTAGAAGAGTGGAAGACACATTGCCAGCCTCTTACTCATAGGTGGTTGCTGGTAACGGTGATGAACTTTGGCTGCGGGTGGCTGTTGGGTGGGACAGCACATATGGATGGCTATGCAGCCTCTCCACCCAGCTCCAGCAGCCCCGTTCCTTTCTCTGACTTCTGCTTGTCCTCCAGCACGACTCCTAACTGTTTTGGAAAACCTCGCCTATGACTTTGTGTTTGTCCACAAGGTACTTTCACCTCTGTATTGTGCACTGTCATTCTGCTTTCATTCGAGGACCCAACCATCTGGGTTGGGAACGTCATTCTCCAATCTGTGTTTAAAATAATAATAATAAAAAAATCTTTGACAAGCCATGCAACTTAATCTAACATGAAGATGGGATTGCCTATCCAGAAACATGTCATTGCTTCCCCACAGCTAAACCAGTGGGTCTAAGAAAGGAAACTGCTTATATTTATAAGCTTGTCCCAGTAATTTAACTGCTGTATTCTGGATTTGATACTTAAGTGTTGGTCATTTTAATAGTAGAAATCCATCGATACCTAGTTTCTTTCATTTCAGTTGAAATGGGATTTTACTAATGTAATTCAGATGAAACAGAATTAGATGGAAATAAGGCAAGTTTTAGTACTTTAGGGCTTTTCCCCTATGTTTTGATGACTAATAGAAAAAAGGCAGGTTCTTTCTAACTTCTTTTTCTTTTCACACATTTAAAACCATTCTCAGATTATTTTTTTTTTTTAAAAAGCAATCCACCAGTCATGAAATAGGAACTGAAAAAAACCCCTTCGGTTTGTTTGTTTTCTTCTTAGCGCTAATTTTGATCTTTAGATGCCCTTACCCATGTTTCTTTCCCCCCATATTTTTTACCAGTTTACCAGGAGTGAGAAAAGACAATGGATCCAGACTTTTTAAATGTGTTTACCCAGCCTGCTGGACTTAATCAGTTCCTAGCTGAGAATGTCATCGCTCAAGGTATGTACTTTATGAACCAGAACAGAAAAAGGTCCAAGCAATGACCTAAAGAACTAAGCAGAAAATGTGCCATACAAATGATTTGTGTTTTTCAGCAGTGGTCCTATGGTTTTATCAGCAGTAAGCAAGCTCCGTGTGTGCAGTTTGGCTGCTGACTCTCTAGAGGCAGATCATGAAGAAGCAGCACAAATTCTAGCTGATTCTTTAACTGAAATTTAAATTGCACACATAAGGATCTGACCAAGTCTGTTTTCCTCTTTCCAGAATTGTCTGTCTAGGTCTTACTGATTTAAACTACATTGAAACGTCATTTCCAACAGCAGTCTTAATAGTCTGATACACCACTTGCGCATAAGGAATCAGTTAAAATAAAGAAATGACAGTGTTTCTACATATGGCAATTAGCAATATTGGGTAATATTATTTTACAGCAAACTTGCATTAGTCATATCTGATAATTGTAATGGCTCTTGTCTGCTTCCTTTCGTAGGTGAGAAGAAGAAATTCATAAAACCGACTTCAAGCAACAATCCCAAATTGGAAGAATTAAAACTGGTACCGTTTCTTTTACAACCTCAACTTGTTTTAACCTGTTGTCTTACTGCTCAGCCTTGTAAATTACCCAGCCTTTTGGCCTCAGTCCCCCCACTCTCTACTAGAGTTCTGCTTTTGGCACTTGGGCTCCACACAAGTAAACTTTTGCTTAAGCATAGTGCCGGAGTGGCTGGGGTTGTACAGGACCAAGCTTCAAATGCCTGCATCACCCAAGAGTGGTCACTGCTGTGTGTAAAGTGGAGCATAGATTTAGAAGCTGAATTTCTTCTTGTATGATACCTCTCCTAACTTGGGACATGCGGATGAGTCACATCAGAAGTACCCAGTTGCTCCTTCATTTGTAATAGCACAGAGAATCCATCTGGAACAGCGGACCATGCTTGAAAGCAAAACCACATGAGCCTTTGCTGTGGCTGAAGATAGATATTCAGATACATGCAAGTTTGCTGTCCTGATCCCACGATAACAAGTTTTAGGATTGCTGCGCTGATTTGCAGCAGTCGACGTCTTGTCTTCTGCCTCCTGTCTGCCAGTCGCCAGCAGCAGCTGGCTCGGCTGTGGAGCAGCCTGCCGAGGGTGGCACAGAGGAGGGAGAAGGGATGAAGGGGTATGCAGGTCACCACGGGCAGTCAGGAGAAAAGCTTTCGAGTTGCTGCATGACACATTGTCTGCTTGAGGTAACTGTGAAGGATGAATCCTATTTCACGGGAAAGTACTTTATTTCCAAGTAATTTTGAGAATCTCCCCCGTGCATTGAATCACTGTGTTTCTCTGATGGCACAGCCCAGGGGAAGGCTAGCATACTGAAATTTCTTGGAAGAAAAGTGGTGTGTGTCTCTTGAGACCAGCACCAGAGATACTAAAACTGTTATGAATATTCTGAAAACCAGCTTAAGCTACGTGCTGATATGCATTATTATATGGCATTCATAAATCCATAAATATGTGTATCTCTATATTATCTTTTTTTAAACCTTCATGCACATTTGATCCAAAAGATTTAATTTTTGTGTCAGGCTTTCATAATGTTTTTATACAAAAGAGAAAATCTGAAAGGTGGTGCTGCAAAATGCAATTATGTTGTCTACGGAGACACTGAATTTGTTCTTTCCAGACTGCCAAAAATGAAGAGCTTTCCTCAGTTTATGAAGATTTCTGTGAGCTTCAGTGCTTAATCCATTTCCTGTCAGAGACTCCTGAAACAATGTTCTTCACTGCCTGATTTCTTTTCTTTGGTTCACGAGGAGGAGGTGGAAATTGGGTCCCAAGGGCCGCAATCGTCTGGGTGCCCGTTGGTGCCACCGATTGCCTGCTTGATCAAAAGAGTTCATGGCTCCTCTAGAGAAGAGGTTGGGGAGGAGAGGGGGATGGGGAGATATCTTCAATGGAAGAATAAGGGAAGCAAAGAAACTTGCTTGGGAGAAAGACTCGGTTCCACTCCATTTTCATGTTGAGATGGCTTTGGGGAAGTAGGGAATGTGGAACAGCTCACTGTAGTTACTATAAATACCAAACCGTATGTAAAAGGGAAGATGGTTACATCTGGAAGCCAGGAGAAAGCTTCTTGAATTATTCCTTTTCTCCTTGCCCTATTCCTTCATTTTTAGACACAACTCTCTGCTCTGCAGCTGAGTGGGGCCGCCACAGCCGGACCGAAAGCGAGGGCTGTGTGAGGCGCAGGCTGCGGACGTGGCCGCTTGGAGCCGAGGATGCAAACGAGGGATCTTGCAGATCTGTAGTCAGCAGCACTTTCTGCTTCTTTGACTTCCCTCTGGTTGTATTGTTATGTTTGAGGTACCGCTCTATCCCTCGCGCATCTAAAGCATCGCCAGGTCTTAACCTGCAAGGATTAGCTGAGAAGCACAGCTTTCTCCTCTAGAAAATGATTGGTAATTCTTAGCTGAGGAAGTAAGTATATTACAAACACGTTGAGAGCTTCTCAGTTCAGGCAAGTGACGGCGCCAGGCATTTTTTGTTTCTTGTGCGGTTTCAAGCATCTCAGAGAATTTATTTTTTTTTTCCAAACTGCTTTTCACATTTTTGTTGATGTTGGCTAACATACAGGGATCTGCTATGAATTTTCTCGTCTGTTTACAGCGAGTGAGGAGAATATTATCCACACAGCAAAGTCCAGACACTCACTTGTAGCAATAATAGCAATATGAGCAATACCCATCCCTCTTTTGAGAGGTTCTCATTAACAGCCAGCTGGGGCTACTGCTCTTCAGTTCTGCTTCAGCAGGTCGTCTTCCCTTTTTACTAACATATGTGGATAAAACACGTGCTTGGGGAAACGCTCCAGAGCTCCTTTGGTCTCCTCTTTAGGAGCTCAGTGCTCAAGGAAGGGGCTACGGGGCCCAAGGGATGTAACTGAGAATGTGGCTCCTTTCCAGCTGTAGCCAGCCCTTGGCTTCCTGGTCCATGTCCCCTTGTGAAGGCAGGAAGGATATGGGAAAGGGCGATGGAAGGACTGCCACATAAGGAAATGAAATAAACAAAACACTCCTCCCCCCCCTTGCAAAAAAAAAAAAAAGGTATTTGGAGACAGATTAGTATAAAATTGCAGAAAGAAAAGGAAAACAAAAATAGGATAGGAAAGGGAGGAGCGCTGGTAGCATGGGTGACTACAAGAAACAGCCAACAGAGTGAGTGAAGCCTCTTTCCTTACAAACTTCTCTCTGTCGGTTGAATTCATGCGTGAATTCTCTGATGTCTAATAAAGGCAGGGCTTGGGAAGGGTACTCTGCGGCCTTTTCCCCGGTGGAGGTGGGAACAGGCTGTATCTCTACACCTGTGTGGCTATTTCTACAAAATTCATAGGAATATGACTTGTGAGATGTCGGTCTCACTTGAAAATTTGCCCCAAACTGGCCAATGAGCCCTGTGTTATTAGGGAGAACTAACTGATACGTAACTTCCCTTTAAAAAAAAACAAACCAAAAAGCGCAGAGGAAGTGGGGTTTGAAAGCAAACCAAGATGTGAGATAAGGGACTAAAGAGAAAGCTGAAATGCAATGTAGCGCTGAGCGCTGTGCTGTCTGAACAACAAGAACATAATTGCCCGCTGCTTTGTTTCCCTCCACAGTTATTGATTGACTGGATCAACGCAACTCTGAAAGAGGAACACATTGTCGTTAAAAGTCTGGAAGAAGATCTGTATGATGGGCTGGTACTTCATCATCTCTTGGGTAAGCTGCTGCTTTGAGCTTAGCTCGCAAACACGTCATGGGGGAACTTCCAGATCAAAGAATAAACCTCACAAAATCACGATAGCAGCGATCTGCTGGAGTCTCGTGTCTCCCTATCAGAGAAGGGCACTGTGAACCATCCGTCATAACTGCAATTCTGAACAAGTGCCTGAAGATCTGCTATTGTTTTTGTATAATTATTTTTCTTCTAAGAAAGTCTTTTTAGCTGCTAGTTAACATAATAAAAAGGTTAACTTTGAAGTGTGAAATTACAGTGCCTCTGAAGAGAAGGAAAGCTTCGTAAGTCCGGAGCACAAAGGTGGCTTGTGATGCTACCAGAAACATCGGATGGAATCAGCACTATAATTTATACGTTTTCCTGCTTTAAAAAAAAAAACAAAACCAAACCAACAAACCAAACAGTTCTAGGTCTAAAGCACTGGACTGGAACTGGAACTGATGAAAATCTGAGAGGCTCTCTACACTGCAAGGTGCTTGTATAAAGATGTGACCTCTTGGAAGAGCCTGTTGGTCCATTTTTATTTCTCCATCTCTCCTGTCCCTACCTCATTTGTCTTTCCCCTGTCACTCTCTTTGGGGGATGTCTTTCAAATCATATCTCCTTTTCAGCAAGGCTGAGGACAGCAGCATGAATAGGATTGGCTTATTTTCATCGTTTACTTGCCTGAGTAATGAGCTGGGATTTCTTCTATATATTGGAGTTGATATCACCTTTGTGCACTGTCTACAGGAAAGATTCACTCGTTGGATTCCTGTAGCTGCCAGTAGGAAAGGGAGGAATGTGGAGTGCTAGGGTTGGGGGGTGATGCTGCAAGGAGTGACTTGAGTCCTCCCCCTTTTGCAGAGCTGCACTGATTTTACTGAGGCTTTCAGAGAGTGTGGGAGTTTAACAAGGCATATAGCGATAGGATGTGGGTCTGTGGAAGCTATTAAGTGGTATTGAACATTTAAAACAAGACTGTGTGCTTTGTTGTCTTCTTCTGTTTCTGATTTATTTTTATTTTTTTCCTGTGGTGGTGTTAAAATACATCCTTCTTCATATGGACTCCCTGTTAAAGAAAACCTAGGATCTCTCAAGCTGGATGTTGACAAGATTGCATTAACAGAAAAAAAACAGCGACAGAAACTCTCTGTGATTCTGGAAGCTGTGGCTAAGTGTTTGCAACTGGAAGAAAGTCAGCTGAAATGGAGTGTGGAATGTAGGTGGAGAAGTGAAATCGGAGAAAATTATCCATCACGAGGCTTCCTCTGCGATAAGGCTGCTATGAGGCAAAGGGGTGCCAGAACAGTAATTAAACAACCTGTTTTCAATTACTAGTTGAATCACAAGTGAGATGGGAATATCTGACCCTGACTGGGTCATGCAAGCTGCATCCTCTAAGTGTGTGGCTTATGGACCACTTGACAGCCCTCAGCATCTGTGTGTATGTCCCACTAAAAGGACTTTTAAGGTCCTTTGCTTAAGGATATTGCTGAACTGTGATCTTATATAAACCCCAATCTGCTGTCTCACCTGTGTTATGGCCCTCCGTGACTTTGGGATCCTCTGCACGAGGAAAATTTAGGATATTAGGGTGACATCTACTTGTTTTTCACGCTAAACGTTGTTTTCTTTCTTTACATGAAATAGCTATCTTGACAAAGGACTTACTGAGCACACTGCATCTCCTGGTTGCAATAGCAAAGCACTTCCAACCCAACCTGGCCATGCCTCCAAATGTTCAAGTGGAAACAATCACTATTGAGGTAATTGCAGTTTTAATATTTCTTACAGTAGATCCTAGAGACCTTTCACCAGAGTTAGTTTGGTTAGAATTGGGGAGAAATATCTGTGTAGCTGTGAAAGAGATACTTGTATTTTCTGTGAACCGTGCCTTTTAATTTCAGAGTTTGCTGGGCTCAGTTCAGATGCGGTATCTTTAACAGGTTAGAAACACTATGCTGGTTTTTTTCCTTGATCAAAAAAAGGAATGGTCCAAACTGAAAACAGCTGTTGATCTCTGTAAAGAAGAAAATGAAGAGATTCTGCTGCTACTATCTCTGTTTTAAAATAGAAGCCTGCACTCATAAATTGTGACACTGGTTTAATACTAAGGAGTTTTTACTCCTCCTCCACTGGGGTCACATTTTGGTATTTTTCTCTGCAAGTTGGGATCTACGTGCTTTCTTCCTCTATTTTGTTAAAGTCAACTCTGGGTCTTTAGGAGAACCAGTGGCAAATATCCAACGATTTGAGATATAATTGCAAAAACGAGCACTGCTGTGTTACGGTTTTAACAGAGGGGTTGCAATTCAGTGGTGTTGGGAGCCCAGCACACGGTCTGTATGGCATGACCTAGTGCTCTTCCCTCTTTGAAGAATCATAACTGGAGCTGAAAGGAAGCATGTCCTTGAGCTATGCATGTTGCTTTGGGAGGTTTAAAAGTGTCCTGGAGGGACAGCTTTTTCTGGGGCTTGGTTCTGCAAAGGTAGCTCCTGTGGCCCCATCCCAGGCAAGCGCTTCAGCAGAGGAGTGGTGGTCCCTCTGGTATCTAATGGGAGTCTAAACTGCACAATGCTGCCCACCGCCAGTGACAGCCCAGACTGCGAGCAAAGCAACCCTCCATCGAGTGCCTTAGGGGGCTGTGAGTGCCTCAGCTGTGTGGAAATTGGGAGGGATTATCTGTGAAACCACGGCTTCGGAAAGGGCTGTGAACCCTGAGAGAGGAGTGGCAATGGAGATAACGGGGTTGTGGTAGTGAGCTGATTCCCTGCAGGAGAAATTAATGTCCCTGTTGGGAATGTCAGTCATTAGGTCAAAAGTGAGGAAAGCCCGTGAATGCACAGGCTTGGAAGAGGGGGAAATGTTGAGGAAGCCCAAAAGAAACCAGAGAAGGCCTGGCCTTTCTGCGACATGCACCTGCAGGAAGGACCTGCCTTTGCCCAGGGGGGCTGGGTGTGCTTCTCTTCAGCAATGAGTTCACTCCAAGGAGTTGGCTCAGTGTGTAAACAGAGGGTGTTTTTCACTGCCTAAAAGGGGAGAGTGGCAAACACCAAGGATTTCTCTGTGATAAGAGACGTTTGCCAGGTGCCTGGATGAAGCAGCAGGCATGCCCACCCTCTCCTATCTCTTCAGACTGTCAGTTGGGTTGAAGCACTGGTTTTTTGATGCTATGTGGAGTACTAAGATCTACGCAGAGGCAAAAAGGTACAAGGACACAAGCAAAGATCCCAAAAGGCTTCAGAAATAGTAAGAACCGTCAGCCTAAATCTTAGCAACCTACAAAACCTAAGTCCTCTGCAGGGAGAATTCATCGATGGGTAGTAGGCCATGCTGTGAGATTACTGTATGGCAGAGGTGACCACCTCCAGTGCTGTAAAACTGAGGAGTCCTTAATGCCATGAGGTGTGCAGGGAAATCGCTGCCTGCCCAAAGCAGCTTGATGGATTCATCAAGTCTCCAGGAGAATGTGCCAGCCTCTGAACTTCACCAGCTGAAGGACCACATGCTTCTCCTTTGGCTTCCTCTGATGGGGAAGCAGCTCATTGCTGGTTGAAGAGTGAAGAGAGCAGAAGGGAACAGCAACCTCCCGAAGTGCCTGTACCGGACTTTTTGAATAAATGCCCCTGGTAATTGTTTAAGGCAGCAAACGGTTCGTGAAAGCCTCATTAATGCTTTCAAATTATTTTTTTTTTTTGCGTAACAAACCCAAAAATATTTATTGTCTTTTTAACAGAACACCTCCAGAGGATTAAAGACGTCAAGTGCGATGGAATATATCACAGAAAACAAGTAAGAGGGGATATATCTGGTTTTTACACTGTCAATCAGAAAGGAAATATTGTGGGTGTTTTCCCTCTTAGAAAAAAATAGCTGGGATCATGATGATGACAAAAAGCATAAACCCAGGCATGCATATGCATGTGAACTGTTTCTCTGATTTCTTTCTTTTTTTAAATTTTTTTTTCTTCCCCTCCCCCTGCCCCCCCAATTGGATGTTATGGTATATAATACCCTTCTGCTTTATACTTTGTATAAAATTCTCTAAAATAACATGTATGACTATTTCTGAGGCTTAGTGTTTGTCGTTGCCATGGAATACAATAACAAATACAATGATAAAAATCCAGTACTGTAAATTCACCTGTCCCAGACTAAACTGGAAATTTTGTGAAGCCATAGTGCTTTAAATCTACTAGCAATTTATTGCTCTTGTGTCGTTAAACAGAGAGAAAGGAGGCAGTTCTTCAGTTTGAGCTTGCTGAATTTGTTAGGTGCTGTCGTTATTAAAGGAGTTAAGTAATAGAATACCATTTATAAACTGAGAAAATACGGACATCATCCTAGGCACTAGAAACAGATTTTCCCACTGTCATCTTTTATATGCTAGAACACCTTCAAATTCTAGTATCATGAGCAGCTTATTGGAAGACGGTATTACGGATTGATCTTATAAAATAAATATTCGTCAGACTGTGGGCCAGTTAAAATCTCATATACTTCCAAGAGCCTATACAGATATACACTGTACTTAAAAATGTCTGTTGGAAAGTTACCCTGACATAAAGTTAATGGCACCTTGTACTGTATCTCCTGCTTTACAAGACAGCTAATGGCCCAGATGAGCTTTGCTTATGAATAAGATTAGTTCTGCTGAATGCTTTTTCTAATTCTTTTTTTTATTGCACTTTTAGAGAGAATTTAGAAGCACAGTCAAGTAAGTACTGGCATTGCCAAGTTCAGTGTTTCGCTGTTACGTGCTGTTATGCACCACATTCTGATCCATTTTTACCTCATGATAAAATCAGTGTGCTCCCACCCCCAGAGTTAATGGAGACTCATGGATTTCCCCTAGTCTTGTTCTCCAAATGTCTTCTGTTAATCTGTGTTCGTATCAACACAGTATAGTTTGGGCATTGGACGGTCACTTTGCCCAAGGGCTACAGGCAACAAATGGGAGGGGAGGCAAGGAATGATACCGTGGGTTGATAACCCAACGGTAAAGACCTGGCTGGGGGACAAAGTATGTCCTGGATTTATGCATGGACCTCATTCACTGTTGGAATTAGTTAAGAGCGTAATGGCTTGAGGATTGTGCTTGTTGTTCCTACCAGTTTCAGTGTAGTTTCCTTTCTGCAGTTTGCAAAGGACATTTTGAAGTCTACTGGTGCTCGATTATGGACAGCAGCTGAGTAAAACCAATGCCTGCTGAGATTTTACCCTCAGGGCTTTTGAGGGCTGTGAAACACTTGGGGTGAAAAACGTTCCCGTGTGCAGAGCCTGCAGAAGGTCTGGGTGCTGCTCAGGCTTCAGCGTGAGCTGCTCTTCCTTGCTGCAAAGGAGCACGTTGCATCCCCAGTGAATCAAGGCAACCGTTTTAATTCTCTGCTGTGCCCTTTATGTTAGTGGTTTCATCCTTTGCAGAGGTGCAAACTATATAATTTAATACATATTTATCACTTATTCCACTGAGTGGCCTCTAGTGTGGGCTGAAATTATGAAAAAAACCCTATAATTAGGTGTTTTTTCCAGTGGGGTGATTCTGCTGGAAAGAGAAATCTGCCATTTGCTCTTCAAAATGCTGCCTCTCTCTATTTTTAACACAGCTTGCTTAACAAAGAGAGAAATCCCGAAGCGTGGCTCCAGAAGAGGGCTCTCCAGTTTGTGAGACCGTTGCAGGTTTCAGACGGTCGCTCAGTGATTTGTTTGATGGATTCACCTATTCCCTGCCATTGCTCCTGCAGCAAGCCCCTAACAGGGAGAAGAGAGAAGCCCGAGGAAACCCTTTCATAGTGGAGGCTTCTCTGTTGCTGGCTTTTGGGAGGAATCTTCCTTAAGCAAAGAAGCTGCCTTTGCTTTCCTGCTCGGTAGAAACTGGTTTCACCATTTAGTTATGCTGCCAGAGCGCCCTTGATTTTCAAGGGTGTTTCAAATGCTTTGATTGTGCTTGAACCAGAGCAGCCTTGTGGCCGGATTACCGTGAGGAGATGTATCTGGCTCTCGCTAAACCTGGGCAGAAAATGGAGGTGAGGGTGGGCTTTCACAGAGACTTTGATGAATCCCATTTCCTTGGAAATCTTTAAACTCGTGCTAGTTCTCCGGTGCAGTGCTGCTGGCACGGCTCGGTGCCTGCCTTTAAAGTGGATGGCAGCACTGGTCACCTTTGAGGTCTGTGAATTTTCAGAGGAAGGGCAGTGTCTCCAACCCCAATATATAGTTTGTGGGGTTTTGAAGGAAGGGGGCTGTTTTTCTGCAAATTTGATGTAACTGGCGTTTCTATTGGGGAAGAGCAGTAAAATGTATAGCTCTTCTCCTCTGCTTACAATATTTTATCCCAGAGGTTCAGGGTTGAAAAAAACCCATAACTGGAAAGGGATAAACTGTAGAGATGCAAAACTTAGCCATTGCTCAGACTGGTGGAAGCGCAAATCTTGAGAACCTCTGCAGGCAAAAATTGCAGAGCCGAATGAAGTAAATTGTTTTCTCTGATGTGGTCAGGTTGAAGGGAAGCCCGTCACCCTGTCCTCTGGTCAACACAGAAGCAGGATCTTTCCCTGCCTCTCTATGACTCTTTTCTTCCTTGGCTTAGAAGGAGTGAACACCTTTGAGCCACTCTAAACCTCTGATCTGACAGTTATTCCAAATAATACCTATTAACATTGTTTTGATGCAGAAGATGATGCCTTTGATGAATTATTTAGCCGTGCTCCAGATAAACTGGATGCTGTAAAAAAGGTAATTTACTTTTTTTAATAGACATCAACATTTGTAAGGTGACACATAATGCATGACTTCACTGAAAAAAAGTTATCTTTTCTTCCACCCTCTCCTCCTCTTCTGTTTTCTTTAGGTATTTGTGCAATTTGTCAACCAGCATGTTGGAAAATTAGGACTAACTGTGAAAGACATCGAATCTCAGGTAGCCTGTTCTAAGCTGCATGTTAACCAAGCTTCATCAGCCGTTTGGGTGTTTCATCATTAGGATTCCTCCTTTTTGTTGTAGTAATTTGAAACTTGGCAACATAACAATTATTTCTAGCTTCACGTTAAGATATCAGGCTTCAGTCTCTGAAGTTGCTGAAGTTAGTAAGTAATGAAAAAATATAGCTTTGTATTGAGTGCTGCCCTTGTAATGCTACAGGGAGTAATTTTCGGAGTCTGCCCAACTCCTGTGGATGCTCTTTTTGTTGGGACAGAAATAAAGATGTTCTGACAATCGAACTGAAAGCCAAGTTGATTGCTGGGGCTTAGTGATTTTTAATGCTGGATTTGCTTCGTGGTAGGAAGGCCTCATTTTCATTACATTTCAAAGCCCCATCCTCTGAACGTCAAGCTGCTTTAGAGTCCGAGAGAAGTGCTCATTAGGCGCCTCGGGATTGCCTCCCTGGGTGCCAGCGAAGAGAGGCACAACTGCACCTCCGCTGCCCTCCTCCTCTGCCGCTGCCTCCAGGGAAGGCGGAGGGCGGCTCGTGCAGAGCCAGAGCCACAGCATCCTCCTGGCGCCTCTCCGGGGAGCGAGCGAGAGGTGGGAAATGAGCTCAGGGATGTCCCTCGTGGCTTTTTCTTTCCCTGCTTTGGCAGATGTGCACGCAATAACTGCAGGAGAAATCAGCCCACGGCTTTTGCTTTGCTCCAGGCATTCAAAGCCTCGGTGCAGTGGCGGTCCCTGCGATTTATGCCATGCAGATGAAAAGTGGAGCTGTGCTCCGGTGCTCTTTTGGGTTTTCCTAGTGGGCAGCCATGAGAAAAGAAGTTTTGCAACTGTTCTGTTGTAAATCTCAGCCACTAGGCACAATTTTCTTTTATTTATCTTTACACATTTGTCGCTTGTGGTCATCTGAAGTCTCTTCACATCTGGAGTAGTTTGTTTTAATAGCTGTCCTTTTACAAGGTCATATTTTTACTAATGTGAACTTGGGAGCCTTATGTAATGAAATATGAAGTTCATGGTAGAAGGGGCTGAGGGAGCTGAGTCACTACGTTGTCTGCTTGCCAGACTATCATTTAAATTCCTTTATCACTAGAATGGCATTTATCAGAGTAATTTACTAAAAGCCAACGTAATAAATAATATTCAGATCATTCTTCATCCAGTTTGCAGATGGAGTTATCTTACTTCTGTTAATTGGACAACTGGAGGGTTACTTTCTGAACTTAAGGGATTTCTTCCTCACTCCAGCCAGCACTGCGGAGATGGTAGGTTGTTATTTAATTACTTAGAGCTTGAGGCTTCGAACATCTTGTGTATTTAATGCTTCTGTATGTTGGCGAAGAGCTCTGCCTCTTGCTTTGACTGCTGCTGCTGCCGCCTGTGAAGTCATATGCACACACAGTGTTTGCAGGATGGTGGTTTGGGACAGTACAAATGCACGCACTTCGTGCTGTAAAAATACCTTGGAACAGGTTGGTGTCTTCTTCAAAATTAATTATTATCTCATGGGAAGCAAATTATTGTCACTTGCATTTGTTAGGCAGATGCATACTTCTGAAGCCTTCCAGTGAAATACAGAGGCTCTGTGTGGCAGGGAATTGATATGCTATCTCCTGCAAGCCTGTCCTGCAAACAACATTTTTAAGTGGATGACACCTCTTGCATAGCAGATCCCTATAGGTTTCCTTACACTATCCTAAAAATATACCTTAATCAAGACATGACCAGAACATTTTGAAAGCCCTCTCTGTGCTTAGGAAGCTCTTGAGAATTTACATCTTTTCTTCCCCCGAGGCAGGGAGCTGTAACCTTCCCAGCCAGACTCCTTTTTCAACTTCTACCAGGCAGATTTCATCAGTGTTTTAAAAGAAAAAAGTGGCATCAGCCAGAATGTAGTGCATGCTGGGCTGCTGGTGTAAATGCCGCCTCGACAGATCCAAGATACTGAAATACTCTGAGATATTAGAGATATTTTCAAATTGTCTGTGGTGTGGGTAGAGATTTTTCATTTGGGTCACTGAATAGCTATGAAAATCTTGAAACCGTAGCTATTTTTCCTGGGTTATATTCCGTTACATCTCTGAAGGTGGAACGTGTCAGATCCTTTTTGCCTGAGAACAGCCTGAAAAGGGAACCTCTCCTCTGGTGTGGTTTGCATTCCAGCTTCCATGCATGGACGAGGCTTTTGTCTGATTCCTGACCTCACCACAGTCAATCTCCCTGCACAGTATGTATTTGTAATGAAAATCTCAGAGGTCCTGTATTAATTAATAAATAGTCCCGTGGAGCTTTTCATCAAAACATTTAAAAATGTTAAAGCACAGCTGTTGGAGACCTAGGTTCAAAGTTTGTCAAAAATTCATTGCTATCTGTTGACAACTGTTAAAGGTGTTAGGAAAATTTTGGATTTTTTTTGCCTAAGATGATTCTGAACTGGAAAATATATTTTGAAGGGTTGAATCAAACAAAACCAAAGCATTTCCTTGCAGTTGTTTTTCTTCCCTTTCTCCTCCTTCACTCAGTTTTCAAAATGGTTTGCTCCGGTCCATTGACTTGGAAATAAATTTTTAACATTTCCAGTAACTTCATTCAGAGGAAGTCAATGAATATTTTTTTTAATTTAAAATTTCTTTTTTTCTTTTTGAATCAGCCCTATTCAAGCCTCACAGATCTCTTTCAAGAAATGGCATACCCCTACATTTTAGGTACAAATCAGAGCTCAGACTTGCTAGGTCTTGCCCTGCCCATGCTGGTCACTGGCCTCAGAGAAGCTGGTTACCGGTTCAGTACAACTCTCTACATCCTAGTAATTTCATTTTAGCAAAGTTACTTCCAAGTACTGGACTTACTGTTGAACAGTTTGCCAAAGTGGTATTTGCCATTTGTTTCCTCTCTGATGTTCATTACAAGATGAAAAGCAGGATGACAATGTAACTAAAAATATTGAGCGACCATAGTTCAGCTGTCATTTGTACATAAAATACGTCTTTCAATTCCCCTGTGCTTTCTAACTCCCTGTCATTTTAGCTGCTAATTGGTACAGTAAAGTATGAAAATGTAACCTTTGCCGAGATTTAAAACATGTCATTTGTGTTATAAAAGTGGTGACAACCACATGCAGCGTTATGATTGATGCGGTGCATTGACTTTCATTCAAGCTGAAAGCTCAAGGTTTGAAGCTGGTATCTGTACCTCGTGAATCACAAGGAGAGGAAATTGAGATGGAAGCAGTCATAGTGAGGAGGAAATAGAAACAAAATACAAGGGGCAGGGAGGGCACAGGTCCGTCTTGGAGCCGGCTGGCATTGGCTTTGTTGGATACAGGGGAAGCTTCTAGCAAAAAAGAAATTGGGGAGGTGACCTGCCTGCAGGTGCAAGAAGACAGTGCTGCACATTCGTAGGTTTGGTGTTCATGACCAAAAAACGAGGTTTACAGGTAACTAAAGAATGTCCAGCTCTGGGCGCTCATATGTATAGAAAGGTGTGTCTTCTGAGACAAAGAATATAATCACAAACTAGGCTGAAATTAGGGGTGAGCTTTCTGCAGTCAGGAGATGAAGAAGATGGAGGAGGGCTCTTGTGCTAATCAAAGCCCTGTGTGCCCTTGGTACTTTTGCTAAAACAGGCCCAGAGATGAAATACCCCAAATGTCCTGGCCTCTGTCCAGTTGTAAATCCTAGAGAATTGTCCAGCTCTTTTGAGGCTGAAAGTGCAGCTGGATAAAATGCCTTATTTTTCTATGTTGCCTTTCTTTGGTAATTGTCGGAAGATTTATTTTGAAATCTGCATGTTATTGTTCCTTGCAAATCTCATATGCGTTACAGAGAGGGAAATGCACCCTTTTTATCTATGCAGGTTCATTAAGAAAACATTTGATTTATTCATTCCAATCAGAAAATTGTGTAGATCCGTATGAGCTTAAGCTTTCCTGGCTGCTGACTATCAGAGGAAGAAAACGAGTCTGAATCCAAACCATTAGTCTCAGTTACTTGTAAATCAGAGAGCCAGGTAAAACATAAATCTGTTGCTTCACTTGAGAGCATGCAGTTTTTGCCTGGCTTATGCATGGCGGACCCCCGGGCTTACTGTCAGCGTGGCAGCATCTGTGGTGGGCCTCCTGAAGGATAAATTGCTCAGTAGCCTGAGTGGGTGAAGAGACAGCCTGAAGCGTGTTCAGGTCTTGTTACTTCATTAGAGGAAGGGAGCTTGCTAATTACCAGCCAAGTAAACAACTGCCCTTAAGCTGTAAGAAGCTAGTACTGAGATGTTACATTGCTTTAAAAAATCATCCATGACTACTGTATATTGTATTAGGTTTGCATGGCAAGATTTTGGTAGCAGTGGGGGCTACAGGGGTGG